ACGACACGCCGTCGTTCAATAAAGATCGTTTTTCCAGAACTTGAACTCTGAGGCTGGCGGCGGAGCGCCGATAGCCAACGCTGGCGGGATGTGAACCCGGAGAGGGACGCCCTCGCTCATACGCTCAGTTATTTTAGCCACTTTAATCTCCCGCAGAGTTCAGTCGCAGTTCAGACCGCGGCTAAAGTGATTAAGTTTGCTAACATTAAGTTATCCGGAGCGGTTGGAAAGCATCCTGACTTCCTCTGCAGTCCGTGTGGTCACTGTCTGTTTCTGTCTGTGTTTTCTGTCGCGTTGCCTCTCGTTACCTGTCGTTCCAGACACCTAACTTCCTGTGTGGTTTGCAAGCCCCGCCCTCATTGTTCCCACCGGTCATCATCAGTCACCATCAACTGAGCATCAGTGAGATTGGTCAGAAAAAAACGATTATTATTAGTTTTTCTCAAATAGTCTATAATTTGGGGGAAATGTTATTGTTCTATTTTGATATGTTGATGCAGCATTCACAAGGTGCACAGCTTCTACTGGAGCACCGAGACCCACTAATAGATGGCTCAAGCTACAATGCTTAAAAATGTTTCCCATTTTGCATGAAGGCAAATCTGTATTTACCCAAATACATCCGGTTGATCCCCCACAAAACTAAAAACACACACACAGACAAACCATACCGAGCTTCATCAAATGGTCACATTGAAATGTGAATTGGCGCTACACTGCAAAAGAACAAATTCAAAGTGAAATGCTGTGTATGTATTTATAGTTCAGTGTGCACGTAATTGACTGATAGAGGAGGCGTGTTTCAACAGATGAAAGCGGAGTGTGAACTGCGGCTAGCCTTGAGCTAATTCCATCGCGTTGGAGAGATAAAACAGGCACCCAGATTTCTGTTCCACATTCTCATCGTGTACATTAGATCGAGACTGAGACGCCGGCTTCTGCACAATACATTTAATGACGTGGCGTGTGTTTCTTTTGAAGATGGCACCGCGGCTTGGAAGAGTCCTCGGCGATCGCGCCGATTGGATCCGATGACGGAGAAGCGCGACTCCCCGGACTCCCCCGTTGTTGGGTCACAAAAATCAAACCCACCTTCTGTTGTTTGTGTGGTCAGAGGCTGAGGGAAGGTCCATCGAAACCATGTTAACACGCTACAGTCCACCTCAACGTATGTGGAAAGAAAGGCCTGAACGTGAAGCAAATGGTAAGACCCTTGATATACGAATTCCAAATGAGTCAAATTTGTTTAATTATGATCACAGAAAGGGTTTGCCAATCTTGTTCTCTCTCGACAAAGAAATAACGAGCGTAGAAAATAACAGGCTCATTTTTAAACCCCTGTAATTGCAATTTTCTACTCAAATTGCAGGCTAATGATTACAGGCATGAGGTTGAGCTTGACAACAACACCGGAAAAGAGAAGGAGCGGATGAAAAAACATTTTCTAAGTCACCCTGAGAGAAGAGAAAATCTGCCAAAAGAAAATTAAGAGCTCGCATACTCCGAAAGGAACCCGGGTTTAGAAGTGGGCTTCTCAAAATGTGCAATTCCCAGACCTTTTCAACGGGCCAATGGTTAAGGGCTTGGAGAATTGAGTTCCTCGCTGCTGGGCTGGAGAACGACCGGAAGGAAACTTTAAAGAGGGAAAGCTGCCAAATGCTGACTACCTCAGGGAAAAGGAACCAGCGATAGTTTGATGGGAGGAGAGAGAGAGAGAGAGAGAGAGAGAGAGAGAGAGAGAAAGGGGGTTAGTGGAAAAAACCTGAAACCACCTCAATGGAAGAGTGGATTCCTGAGCTCTGCTGAGGATCTTCTCCACTCGTTGTCCTCGGCGTCCCGAGCACTTGAGGATTCTGTTGGACGGATTCTCAGGCCGAGTCACGTGACTCCTCCACTGTTTATCAGTGTCAGAGTCATCCATCCACAAAAAGTAAGATGGGATGGGCTTTTTCTAAAATATTGTGATCTAAACCTGAAGGTTTCTTGGGCCCAAAGTTGGGGAACGAAGAGACATATCTGTTATACATAATGGCTCGTGTTAAGATGCTCAATATGACATTGCAACCTGTTGTCTACACGGCTCCTCGCGCGGCGACGGCTAACGGTGCTGAAGCCCGGACGAGCGCCCCCTTCGAACTCTAGGAAACGTTATTTGGCAGAAACATCGAACAAATAACACCTCAAACGCACGGGTGACATGCGCCGTTTACTCGAGTTTGTGCGACATGTCCCAGTGAACTTTACATGAACAGGCCCTGCGGGACCCCTGTCTGAGCTCCAGTCATGCGCAGAGAACATAACAGCACAAGGAACTGATACAACGCAATGACGTTACGGCACAGACGGACCCACCGCCTTAATAAAGCAGTGAGAGAGACACAAGCCTCAAACCATTCGAATAAAACACCCGGGGACACACACGCAAACATACACAGCGCATCAGCATGAATAAATAAGATGTGCAAGCTGAATCTCTGAGGAGCAAAAATGGCCCTCCGCATCGACAAGGATCAGCCCGGGCGAGTCTGGGACACTTCTGGCTTCCAGGAAACCAATTTGTTTGTTTATTGTCTTGGTGTTTTGTCGGCGGTTACAGTTCATTGCAGCCAGCCCATCTCAGGCATGCTCCTTTAAATGGCATCTATAAAACATGGGGTGTTCACTCCCCGTGTCCTCCACCTCCTCCTCCGTACATGACGGAGCTGTACGCGGGCGGAACAATGCTGCATTTCTTTCACTACGGTGGGGCTTTGAATTTCCCTTCTGAGTCAGCCCGACGGATTCGCCCCGGCGGGCTTGATCGGCCGCTTTTGAGAGGTTGAACAAACTGTGCTTTCTAAACACTGGCGAGCAGCGGATCTCGGGGTGCTGAAATCGGGTGTAATCATGTCGATAGATGGGCGACTTTTCAGAGTCCCGCTAAGCCAAATCCGCGAGGCTGGCGGCGAGCGGGGGGAGCTTCCGGTGATGATGCAATAGCCGGGGATTTTATGGCTAAATCGTGGTGCCGCAGCATGACAAGACATGTGCGTGCGTCCTGGGTTCATAATTTCCCTTCTTGAAAAAGGAACTGCGGCATCGAAGTCGGTCTCACATCTGGAGGGGGCAGAGGTCTCAACGGGCAATCTTATTGCTCGCCACAGAGCTGTGAATACATACATAACTCCAGTGCAAGAAAAAACGGTATTGTTCTGTCTCATGTCTGGAAACGCGAGTCAGACTCCCATATTGTGCCCTATTGATCTGACAGAGCGAGCGGGAAGCTGCCGGAGAACACAAATACTGCCCGGGGTGGCTCCTTAAAACTTGAGACAAGCCTCTTATTCACGCTGCTCTGTTCCTCTGGAAAACACCTGGTGGCTGATGCATATCAAGTGCTCTCTCCGAGCCCGTGTCTGCGCCGAGCATCTCTGTTTGTTGCCACATCAGCGGGGTGGTGGCTTTAAAGAAGAAAAGCACCACGGAAAGTGGGAACTAAAAGGTCTAACCTCTGCTGATTGCCGATATTTTGCTTTGATGCCATTTCCAGCAACCATTTTTGGTTTCACCGCGTGCCGGGGAGCGAGCGTGCGTGCAACAGTGCAGCAATGGCGGGGTAATTGTGACGGGATGCTTACAGGTGCAGGAAAAAGGTCATTCTAGGCCTTTGGCTCCGCAACATAATTCCCATTTTTTTACAAGTCACTGCCGAGAGCACAAATCCTGTCCGGGTTTCCGGGTTTCCGATCAAATACAGTGGAACCGTCTCCACTGCTCTCAAGGTGGCCTTTGCTCTGCCTGTCATTAATACCAACCAATAACATTGCACAACAAATAACCCTCCAGAACAACAGCGGGCCGCGCGGGCGGCTTCAAGGGCTACTGACGGCAATCTATAAAACAATACAATGGGTTGCCTGTCAGTGAGAGGGAAGATCTACACCTCCTCTGACTCTCTGCGGGGACTTCAATTCATCACACCCAGATATGAGCGTACGGTTATTATCGTCCTCAGATTGCAAGGGGGTGAAATGCGATGATAGGACTAATTGATGGGGAGGGAGGGAGCGAAAAAGAGCTGACCGCACAGGCCTCGTCGAGAGGATGAAGGGCGGATAGAAGACGGCGGTGAACAAGGAGATGTTCCCGAGATTAAAAAAAAAGGAAGAGAGGAAGTGGAAGGGGAGGGCTTGTAGAAAGAGAAATATTCACAGAGGTGTCTAAGCATGATCGTAAATATCTACACGCACAGGAGTCGCTTTTCATCGGGGGGACTCCACCCGTCTCTTCTCGACATAATCCAACAAGATAACAGCGAAGTACTCCTCTTAAGTCACAAAGGAGACGCTCACAGCCGGAGCTGCTTCTTATTTAATATCAGTGGTATGTTGGAGTTGGGGAATCACATGATGGAGCGTTACTGTGGGGAGCCATGTTGAGGTTTGGGGGGATACCTTTACCAAGGTACAGACGATTAGGAACAGAAATATTATGCACTTTAATTTAGATTTAACAGATGGGTGGATGGATAGAGACGGATACTTTCAGTATCAGTTTTTATCAGTGAATCTAAATCCATACTGAGATATTTACATGATGCATAACACATGTACACACACGTGCACACATTCCCCTTTTATATATTTCAAGGGAAATGAACAAACACGTACATTTTTTTTTAGTTTCCTTATGATTCTTGTCTAATTTGAGCAGCCAACGATGACTGTTTGGTTGCCACACGTACCTCATATTCTCTGAGTCATTGTCAGCCAACAGCTACACCTCCATACCACCTAAAAGGTTTCCAGTAGATCGCCTGTGCCTGGCAAGTTAATAAATATTCATCAAAGTGGAGGCGATCAATAGTGGAAGCGATACGCGTATTCGCATGTTTGGCTGATGCGCACGCGTGCGCTATTGCGCTTTCCCAAATTCGCAGTGTCCAATTGTTAAAAGTCATTTTTGTGACCCGGCAAATGTGCAAATTGCGCCATTTCGACGCGCGACACGTCCGAACCTACCTGTCGTTGTGCGGCAGTCAGTTAATCCGCTGAAACGTCCCTTTCATTTATTCTCCATTGTCGACCACAAAAACCAGAGACCTCTTCTTCACAGAAATGCCATTTCCTCGTCGCTTCAAGCCGCCCTCGTTGACAACACATAACATTAGAAGGAGAAAAAAAAACTCTACTGGGTTTTAATGTCCAAAGCCCTCCGGACGCGCGCTCCACGCGTAAAACCAGTCTGAATTGAGGTTTTTGAAAGTCTACAAAAGTTGCTGCTCTTCCGGCTCCGACTCCTAACTTCCCCTCCGCCGGAGCGCCGCAGCAGCTGGACCACGCGCCGGACTGTCACTCATCCTCTCTGGATTCAAGCATTCCTTTCTTTTCGGCTTTTTTTTTTTTTACTCCTTCCAGGTTGCGTTTGGCTTTTTCTTTTTGAGAACGTCTTCGTGCAGTCAGAGAAACGGATTTGAAGTATCAAGGGGACGAGAGAGAGAGAAAGAGATGGAGAGGGGGTGAGGATGAGGGTGGATGCTGCGGGAGATGCGCCGGTGTTTTAGCGCCACCCAGTGGAGGTGCGTGGCGGAGGCAGGAGGGAGTGCAGACGCTTTATCTCACCCGGCGTTGGGTGATGGGAAGCGGATGGTTGCGAGACCCGTCGAAGACAGCAGCACAGTAGCCACAGCTAATTGTTATTAATGGCTTCGCCGTAATTCCAGGTTTTCTAGGTTTGATTAATACATTTCATGTAATTATTTATCAATTTCCTGCTCTTGTTTAGAGGAAGTGGATCGCAAACAAACCAAAGAAGCCACTTTATTGTGTGATGCGTTTGGATACAGCTTTTGTAGTTAGGGGGTTATTTGATATCCATAAAGATAAAAATATCTTCTTATTTTATAAAATGGGTATTATTGGATATTTTTGGATTTATACCCCGTTACTTACCTAAATATATTGAAAGATAAAAAATACAGCCAGTGTTTATTTGTTTTGTAAAGTGTTTTTTCCAAACATAGAATGAAAAGAAGTCACAACTCTGATGTGCTGAGGGATTGTATCTAGCACTATTTTTACACCATTTAATAACCATCAGCACAACCTACCTCATTGCTGCATGTAAATTCTACTTTTTAATGTAAATATTGCATCTCATTTGACTCCCCTGAAATGGTCACACTACCCTCTCATGAGCAGAAATGAAAATGACAGTGACCTCTCCCATTATGGACCACCCGCCCCCCCCCCCTCACGGTTTCTCTGCAGTCCATTACTCAGAGGAACTTGCGTGTTCGGACATGCATTAGGCTCCTACTCACCGCGGTCATCATAATACATCTGCTTTTCTCTGACATTCAACTTCCTCTCTCCTAAAACACACAAAGCCCCCCCCCTCCCTCCCACTCCCCCCCAGGTAACTGCATTACCATCTCTCCATTTCACCTCTCTGTGTCTCTTTCGTCTGGCCGTCCATAAGGCACGACTGGGTGGAAGAATCGATACCGACCTTTGAGATGGCCGGCGGAGATGCGAGGCGAGCGTTTGGGTTTGCATTTGATTGATTTCGGACACCCTGAGAGAATGTTATCGCCATGAAGCCGAAGCCATCTACCTCACGGGCCTCGTCTCTGCAAACACACGTGCACACACAAGCACAATCGAACGGCACAAATCCCCGGCGACTGATTATGAAAAAACGTTGGGCTATCATCATTGACCAGGCTGAGCTATATTAGTCACTTCATAACCGGGTAGAAAAACTGTTCATTTTATTCTATTAACGAATTTATCGTAAAATCCCGAAGTCCTCAACTGTCTTTCTTCCTCCTCCCTCCTTCGCACTTACACACAGACACAGACGGACGCACACGCAGAGAGGAGACGACCTCATTAATCTTCGGTGCATTGTATGGACCGACGGCGTCAAACCCCTGACACTGTGGTTTGTGACACAGCTCTGCTCATTAAATCATATGACAGGATGAGGTCAGCCATGAGGTGAGGTGTCTCAAGCTGGGTGAGAGCAGATAAAGCTTCTTGTGAGAGAGCTCAAACTACAGATGTACGTGACGGCTGAGGTGAGTCGTGAGGTAAGCCCGGTTAGTGAGCTCATTGGTGTCAAAATGGAAGAGAAAAAAAGTCTGTGGTGTTGTCTCCTTGAGGTCACGCGGCGCTGAGGTTGAGGCGTCGTGCGATTTGGATTATCGCACTTTGGTTTTGAATAGTTGCTGCTGGGTGCATTTGCACATTTTGAGTAGCAGCAATATGGAAGACAAATGAAACAAACGCTGTTTGTAATTCTTTATTGATCCATCATGCATTTTTTTTTAATTATTATTACTATAGTATTGTTTATAATGTAACAATGAATGTTTAAATTTAAACTTGATTTAGTATAAATGTGCAACATAAGGTTTGGCTCATCAGCTATACATTCATACATTCTTTTTCATCTATTTTACATTAATTCAATCTCCCTTGTATTTCTTTAGGTCAGGTTGGCTCCTTATAGGGCCCCAAATTACGCTTAAGATACCCAAACGTCTGCGTAACGCTCATCGTCCCATGCTCGTCAACCTGGGATAGCTTTCTCTTTGCACACAACACACACACACACATACACAAATTGACTGTGGTGGGGGTTGGGCTTAAAATAACGGTGGGAGCCCTCCGCCTGAACTCACACCCGCCTTCGCTGGCGGAAGTGTGCTTGAAGACAGCGGGTTGTCTACCAGAAAATTGCAAGAGGAAAAATAGGCGGCGCGATGGCCTCGGGAATGGAGCTGGCCATCAATAATGCAGAGGAAGCAGCAGTTAATGCCCCCTTTAATTCAACAGGTCGCCAGACACCGAGACAGTTATTCTTCCTCAGCTGCAGATGCTCGATGAGAGGCTGCTACGTCGGGCTTTATGGCTCCGTGTACGGCTGCACTGCCGGGCCTTTCCCATCCCACCCGACCTCAATCCCGATCACAGGGCCGTTAATGGGTTTTCATCAGGGGCCCGCGCATAATGGAGTTTCCAACTTCACCGTCTCGCTCAGATACTAGTTGGTGAGGGGAGGGGGGGGGGGGGGGGGCTGAAGCCACAGAGAAAGAAATAATTCCCTTTCAAAGTCAGGATGTATGAACCCAATGAGGTCCGATCAGTAAGAGCGCAGACGGCTTTAATTAACAAAGAACAACAGCCAACGTTACGGTGCAGAAACGTGAAGAAGGTTGTCTACAATTTAACACAACTGAGGGGTTCGGCCATTAACGTGAGATGGAACTAGTAATACCAACATTTTTACCGACCGTATTTCCCATCACATGTGAAGGTAAATCAAGTAAAATGGTCGACTGTAACTAATCTGAAGAAAGGAGGAGCAAGTCACACACTCACAGCTCAGATGCAAACTGTTTATTTTTAACAGCGTTGGACGACAGCTTGCAGAACATGCAAGGAGGTTCCCTGTAGGCCGCTCATCTGCGTGCTGGTGCTTCACCACCAAGTTTTACCCTGAAAAAGAGACAGAAACACAGCAGATGTGTACAGATCGAAGAGGGAAAGCTGCAGATAGAAGTTCAGCTGCCGGTTACTTTCTCACCTGCACACAGCCTGTCATGGTGCGGTGGTCGTTTTTTTTGGAAAGTCACAGCTCCTCCTACTCCACAATCTGAAAAGGATGGAAATCGTCGGTTTAATATGTGACAATAGGTTGTTCTGTATTTGCTCATCGTGTGCAGTTTTATGGCAATACTTAATCTGAAAAGTAGTACATGTGAACATTTCAGCAGCCAATGTGTTGTTGACAAAGCGGCCCAGCAGCTGGTAGCACGCCGTGCTAACAGCGCTAACAGCGCAAACAGCGCAATCTACCACAAAATTAGCGACAGAGCTAACATGTTTCACTTGAGGGGGAACCGGAGAACAGGTGTAACGAGATAAATAGCCATATAGGCATTATATATTTACATAGACATAGAGTTAGATATAACTAATTTCAGCGATACAGTGTAATATAAAAAGACCACATTGTATGTTTCTTTACTTTGAGTCACGATGAGAACCTTTTTAAATGAGTATTTCTGCCATGTAAAGCCGAATGCTGTCCTGAAATATGAACTCCAGGTTTGTTCTTATTCTCTCGTCGTTTTTTTCTTTCCTGATTATCTACTTATCGCATGACTCGCTGACCTCCTGACAGAGATCCGGCCATCGTGTGGTAGAAACTAATTTGCTGTTTCCCTCGGATTCGGCCGCGGCAGCCTCTGATAGAGAAGCAGAGGTTCATTTATCAGGAGAGAGATTACATCTTCATCCACCGCGGCTGCACGTTGAGAGTTTATTTCATCTTTGAGAGGGGAAATAAAAACAGTTTTACATCCATCCGTTAATGAAAAATGCAACAATTTAATTTCCTTTCTGCACTTGGCAGCCTGTATCGTTGATATCAATAAAACAGCGTTTATTACATTTTTCTAAAGTGGTGATTAATGTGAAATAAATGTCATAACATTCCAGCCATATAATTGCATTCCTTCTGTTTTAACAAGCAAGATAGACAAGAGTGTAATCGGTTAAGCACATTAGCTTAATAACTGCTTCTCATCCTGCAATACTTTAGCTCCATCTTCTGGAGAACACGCACAGCTGCAAACATCTGTCCTTAAACATAACAGTGAACGCACAGTTCACTCGTGTCATGCTGGTGAAGCATACACAAGTCTAACTATGGAGAGCTATTACATTGTGTAAATGCCTGCTTACTGAATGACTGTTGATCATTTCATTAACAATGCATCATATTTTAACTGCTCTAAATAGGATTTTGTGCGGAAAAGTTGCACACTGGGGAAATACTCCATGACTCCAAGAGAGCAAACCACATCAAAAATTCATGCAGAATATGGCCTCTGGGACTCATACTGTATTTTAGCGATAAGCAGCATTTTACTGTTGGTGTTGGTTAAGTGGTTTGTGTACTTTTGGGTGGTGTCATCCTTCCAAAAGGATTATAGTGCATAAATCCATCCTAAGTGTTGTTGGTAGAATCTAATCTGCATTAACACGTAACTACTATTGTCAAGTAGATTAGAAGTAAAGTAGCTTTGCTACCCAAGTAAAGTCCAAGTAGCTTAGTGTTTTCTCTAAGAATAGTAAATGTAGACGATGTGTCGCACACTATGAGCAAACGCATCAAAAGTAGTTCCAATGGAGTGTTTCCTGTAACGTGATGTGGTTCTGCTTTTGCTAATTTCCGAAAAATAGAATTAAAATAGATGAGCAAATGAATTAGAATTAAAAACCAATGCAAATTAAATGCAGCCCTTTGTGTTTTTCATAATACACAATTTGTATTCAGTAAACTATCTCTGGTTCCATTTGTTAAACGGTAACAAAGACGAGAATGTCACAATTAAAAGAGCAGTGTTGACAGCTGGAATGAGAATAGGCACCAATGGTCGTTTTGTGTACCTGTTGACAGTGATTCCTATTTCAAAAACAATCAATATGAACCAAATGAATCACTTATCAGCATAAAAGTGATCATGTGACACTAAAATACTCAAACAAAAAACACGTTTGAAAGGACTGTTATTTTATATCTGCAGAAAAATGTGCAGTACTTCCTTTAGAGGGCACCATTCATACATATGAATTGGTTGTGTTGGATTACATAAAAATGCACCTAATTAAGTTGCCAGTGAGTTTAAATATAGTGAATTAAAGTGTAATGAAATACAGATATCCAAGTAACTCCAAATGATATGTTTGTGTTATGTTATGTGGTAATAACTGTAACTGTAAATGAACTGGGGTCCTGCTAACGTGTTACTATTATACACGAGTTGGTGATCTATTATTAGAAAGTCACACTCATGAACCTCGGTCACTTCCACGCACATCACTTAACAATCAGCTGCTCTGTCGACATCGACCAATGTTCATAATCAGGCTACGCGGTTAGCGTCCAAAATCTGCTGACTTTCACGTTCAATATCTTGCGTGTGAATATTTTCTCTCAGCTGTCCGCCCCTGTTTTTGGAGGTTGCGCGCGCGACGCGGCGCGGTGCGCATCTGTATGAAGCCCTCCGCCTCGCGCGATGAGCAATCTGCCGGATTACAGCCCGCGCGCAGCCAGCGGGGAGCTTTACGAGTCCGCCTGGCGAGCGCCGTCACGTGGGCCCGAGGACCGAGGAGAGAGAGAGACAGAGACAGAGAGAGAGAGAGAGAGAGAGAGAGAGAGAGAGAGAGAGAGAGAGAGAGAGAGAGAGAGAAACCCGCTTCCTGAAATGATCCTCGTCGCTGGCTTCGTGTCGTTTTGGGGGTTTTACTCTCTAACGTAACATCGCGATCGACCCCCCCCCCCTCCCCCTCCCTCCCTCCCTCCCTCCTACCCCTCCTGTCCCCCCGTGTCCCGGAACCTCTTTCCGCAGTCGGCTCCCGATGATGATCAGCAAAGTAAAGAACGCGATGTCCACTCTGGTGGGAGGGATGGTGCCGCACCACCACCACCACCAGCACCAGCACAACCAGCACCCGGCCGGCGGCCAGGCGTGCGCAGCGGACAGCCTGCCGCCGCGCTTCCCCTACGGCCGCCCGGACTTCTTGGACCTCACCCCGGAGCTCCTGCAGTACTCCACGGAGCACGCGTCACGGCCGGTGCTCACGGTGAAGAGAGACAGCAGGCTTCCGTGGCGGACGGGATACGCGGAGTGAGTGAACGAACCCCCCCAAAAAAATTTTTACATTTATTTGGGTCTTTTAAAAACCAAAAATGGTGTTTTGGGGATTTCCCTTTTGAGGGGGGGCCTCCCCCGTAGGAGCCCAGTGAGTGCCCCCCCCCCCCTTCCCCAGGGGGGGTGGTTCCAGCTGGGAGGGATGTATTTTTTTTGGGGGGGGGGGGGGTGGAATGAGGCAAAAACGCTCCATATTTGTGTTTAAACATACCCGTCCACAGGCGCCACCTCGAGTCAACGTGAAAGCGTCCCCATGCTGGAATTCATGCAAAAGTGAAAGCAGGAAATGTACCTACTGCTGTTACCAACCAGGTCGCCTGTGTGTTTCCTATACGTGCATGACCATCCTGAAACCTACAAAAACCACATAACCTCTTTGACAAGGACATCAATTCCTTCGAGGTTGTCGGCATGAGCCTTTGAGTCTCTCTGTGTGTTTATTAGGCCACTATACTTCAAGACATTCCATGGTAAGAAGGACTGAATGGTCCCCGTCCCGTCCTGCTGCACCCAGTGTGGAGCCCTAAAAAGGCCTGACTCATGCAGAGACTCTCAGGGAGACGGCGATTGGTCACGACAAGTGCCTCAGAAGACTGAAGGAGGGAGGTCAAACGAGGGCGCTGCCGATGCACAGAGAGAGAGGTGGTGGCGTGGGGAGGGGGGGGCGGTGTGCACCGTCATCTGCGTTCTGCAGGAGATGACTTAGATGGAGGTCGCTGGCGCCGTGATCAGCAGGCATTACCACCAGGGCTGTTTACGACCCGGTGTAATGCATCAGCTGTCAATGTCGAATTAACAGCGTGTGGCGCAGACGGCGCCAACACGAAACCTGAGAAAATGAATGGAAACATATCTGATTGCAGAAGTGAGTCATTCGCTCACACAGCTGACGACGAGACCACTCGGATCCATCAGAAGGCGTTAAATGAACTCTTGGGGTCCGAGATGGGGGCCGATTGAAAACGCCGCGTCGCAGTCGATCGACGGGGTGGGACATGAAGACCTCGGCGGAGCAGGATTCATGTAGCGGAGCGTCTGCTCCCTTCCCCTCGAGGAACAGCGAAGGCTGAACCGTTTGAGGTGGAGAATCCGTCCCGTCGGAAGGCCGCACTGCTGCCTCCCATTCAGACCTCCCTCCGACTTCCCCTCCACTTTGACAGCACTTAGTTGGTGTCATCGCTGGTAATGAGGAGCACACACACACACACACACACACACACACACACGCATATAGGGTCTAATTTCATTTGTTCGGTTCAGGATGCTCAATACACTCAATACAGTGTAATTGGCGCCGTGATGCTGCTGTACATCGTTTCACTTAACGGCGAGCCGCTCTAACGGCTTTTGTCGAATGGCTTCTCAAAACACTTTGAAATGGAGGCGAGCTTCCTGCACTGAGATCATGACAGAGATGCAAGGACTCATTGTGGAAATGCTTCCGTTGACATTCTCCCTTTCTTCGAGCTGAGATACAAATGGGAACGCTTACTGTATGTGTCGTCTGCTGTGTGAGCCCACGTATATTTAGTTATTGTCTACGGCGTGATCTCTTAATAATAAACACACGTGAGGCGAGCGCAGAAGTCCGGGGGGAATATCATTCAAAGCTCCCCGTCACCCCGATGTGAATAAGCAGATATGAAAAGAAAAGAAAAAAGTGTCATTTCATGTTGAAATGACTCACGGCCGTTGTGACAATGTTTTCATTATTATGAAAAATTAGTATTTTATCAACGCACAACAAGCTGATCTTTCTACTTGATATGACATTTTATTCAACATTATGAACTACTAATATATTTATTCCAAATGCCATGATATTAAATAGGAGCCTTGCAGCCGAGCATGATGTCGGCCTCCAGCGGTTGATCCAATAACAAAAACTCTGTATTTTGTGTGAAATGTTGGCTTGGCCGAAGGTTTACGGGTCAATCTAATGAAAACATAATAACTGAGTCGAGCACAATATTCTCTCTCTCTGTAATCCTGAATAAAGTGAATAAACAAATCAGCCGATAGAACTTTAAAAACCTCTCGTCGGTCTCTCCTGAGTTGCAAAAGGTCGCCAGAGATCAGGTAAATGATGATAAATGCAATATTTTTTAGCCCAAAACTCTACATGTTACAACATAGGTATGTTGTTTTTTTCAGAGACAAGTGGTCTAATAACAGCACACACATTTTCATCACATTTATGACGTTAAAAGGTTCACTGAATTCACTGGAACACTCAACTTCCTCCTTCGAACTTCCCCGACACGATGTACTGTTCAGTCAGCGAACACGACGGAAAACGGCTTTCAGTCACAAGTTGTGAAAACATATGACCGAAACGCGCAAAGAGTTACGTCACTTTATCGGAAGGCTTCACATCCTGCGTCCGCCTCCTCGCGGGGCACATGTGACAGAAAATGATTTGCTGATTCTTCACTGCGGGAGACGTGAATCTTCAACGCGGCGCAGAAATGCAGAAAGAAGGCATTCCCTTCCATGCACGACGTTGCCTCTTCTCAAAACAAGTGATTCGTGGTTGAATCAGGATATATCAAAAATATTATTTAACATGAAAGAATGAGGAAATCAACCCACGAGAGGACTAACATTAAGAGATGCCACAGTGTTTAAAGGTATCGTCATGCTGGGTATTTTTAACACATTCTACTTTATTAAGTTACGATCGGGCGAACATGAAATTCTTCCCAGTCATTGGTCCGAATGCGGGGAGCGAGTTCAGGACGCCGCGGTTCCCATCTACCGCTTTCAACTGATTACACGGTGGAAGAGATTTTCATAATCCAGATTTGGGCAGCGGTTGCCTTTTTGTGCCTCATTTCTGCTGCAAATCTGATATTAGAGCTTTGTGTCGGGACATTTCCTCCAGAGATTGTAATCAGCTGAACTAGTTGGAGAGCCAGAGGTCAAAGGTCTTATTCTGATGATATTTTAACTTTGGATTTATCTCCTCTACTAAACGACTGTGCAGTTTTTTGTCCTTCTCTCTTGCTGCTCTCTTGCTCAGCTCCCTTTTATTTTTGTCGTCTTTCTCTTGATGATCCCAGCAGAAAGTGATAAATGACGAATCTGACCTCTGCCGGAGTTTCAAAGGGGAATCTCAACGACAATACTTGAATAAGTGGAATTGCGCAATAGGTGTTTTGTCGAATCGGACATTTAGCTACAACAGAAAATGCCAAATTACAAGTCAGCATTAGGGCCCAAACCTCAGCCTTACCAAGTCTGCCTAACGCCACAGCTTTGAACACCATGCCAATGCATGTCTGCATGTTTTGTGTCATATTTGTGTAACCGTGCACCGGTCGTCTGCACCGGCTCCTCCAGGCAACGCTGCTGCAGAACCAGGGCATCACTCTGCACTTACATTACCCTCCGCAGCTCACAATAAAAACACTTAATCCCTCCTGCAAGTTCCCTCCGGGACACGGCAGCATCCTGTTTCACTTTTTTCCTAGCTCCCCCCCACATATTTTTGTGATGCTATTATATTGTCTTGTGGTTAGAGGAAGCAAACACTATGAATCATCTGACTCCAGGCTTCACCTCTTCCTCCACCAGGGTGATCAATGCGGGGAAGAGCATGCTGAACGAGGACCAGGCGTCCTGTGAGAAGGTGTTCGTGAAGAAGCCGAGCGGCAAACACCGCAACTCGTCCATGCTGGAGGACAACGGGGTGAGCAAAGTACCCGGACATCCGCTCAAGTGTTTAGCTGAAGGCCGGCTGGTCCAATAAACAAATAGTTACAATAATCTAAATGTGACGTCGGTGTTTTTCACAAATCTGGATAGTGCAGCGCATCTGGCACACGCACGCACACGCACTCGTCCTCCATTCGGTGTATTGCGATTACGTCATCTCTCGCTGGCCCCCCTCCCTCCCCCACCTGAGTGTATGATCAGCGCGGTGAGCAGATGCCTTGTGCCTGTTCAAGTGTTAGTCAGTCAGTCGGGCCAACTGTGCCTGTAAATGTGTGTGAAAACAACAAAAAGGTGACAAACGGGGACGACGCCTCTCCGCCGGCCATCGCGTCGTCCTTGATCAGCAGAAGCGTTTTTGCACCCAGTTGCCATATAGATCATAGGAAATGGAGCAACACTGTTTTGATGCACTGCCATCTTTCAAATGATGTTTTAATCTAGATTTGCTGCAGGGACCTGAACAGCAAGAAAATGCTGTAATCTCATCAGAGCTGTAATCTCATTGGAGGTTTTTAAATTATTATTTTAAGTTATCATAGGCCTACTTTTATTTATTTTTTTGTTACTGCTTCTTTTACTACATTTATTTAATACGTTTTTATACATTTTCCAGGATGGCACAGGAATCCCTCTCCATTTCTGGGGCGTGTTTGATGGACACGCTGGTTCTGGAGCCGCCATCATGGCCTCCAAGCTTCTACACCGCCTCATCAGAGACCGCTTGGGAGAAGTCTGTCACCTGCTGGAGAACCCCAACTGTGCACCGCCCATCTGCCTCGCCAAGAATGGGAGCCCGTACCAGGCGGACACCAAGAAGGGGGCCGCGCAGGAGACAGAGGACCCCGATGCAGTCACCGACTCCTCCGTGCGCTTTCACATGGAGAAGGTTGTCAGTCTGCAGAGCCTGGTGATGGGAGTCATAGAGACCGCATTCACCCAGATGGTGAGCAGATGTTCACAAACAAGCATTGTGAGATGACCTCAAAATGTGTTGGGTCGAAAAATGTTTTGAGAAATAATTCTAAATTTGTAGAAAAAATATTTTGAAAAAGCATCAAAATACCTTCTGTTAAAAAAAATGTCGAAAAATGTAAATACGTAAATAAGTAAAAAAAATGTAATGTAAAATGTAAATACGTAAATAAGTAAAAAAATGTCAAAATATGTTAGGTCGAAAAATGTTTTGAAAAATAATTCTAAATTTTTAGGGTCGAAAAAATATTTTTGAAAAAGAAAAAATTGTTTGAAAGAAAGGTTGAAATAGGTGATGTCCAAAATATTTTTGAAAAAAACTAAATAAATATTAGGTTAAACCAGGGGTCTCAAACTCGCGGCCCGCGGGCCAATTGCGGCCCTCGGGACGATATTTTGTGGCCCCATCCTTAATATGAAAGTGTAATGTTAGTGGGGCCCGCAAGTTTTATACTGTAACCCCACTGTCAGCTGCTGTGTGGGACATGTTATGATGTTCTGGTTTCCTACTGTGTGCTTGTCCAGTGAACGTGGCATGCATGTGACTGACATGGGGGGCGGGTCGTGTGTGTCGGCCGAGGTGCAGAGAGCAGGAGGGTGAAATTCAGTTTCCTGCCCTCTTTCGCGCAGGTGATCATGTGACTAACCGTTAGCATCGCTCGTTTAATAAAGTTTTCCTTTACGACTCACACTAACAACACATGAAGCATCTGACGTCACCGACGAGCGTCTCCGTCCATTACTACGCAGCTTCGATTCACGTAACTTCACGTTTGGCTATAAAGGAATTCCACGGTCACATGACCTTAGGTCTCCCCCGCTGAGTTAAAGGAGGACTAGTGTTGTAGTCTCATTCGGACCGATCCCCCAGGGTGGGGTTCAATGACTGCTTTTGAAAGTGAGTGTTAAGTTGTGTTATTGTCGACCATGCCGTTCGGACGCTAGTCTGGCCCGCGTTCGGTTGAAGTGGGCTGCATCTGGCCCGCAGCTGATTTGAGTTTGAGACCCCTGGGTTAAACGTTTGGAAAAAATATATATATATATGTTATGTTGAAAAAAGGCAAAACTATGTTTTGTTTTGAAAATAAATATTTATAGAAAAGACATTTAGGGCAACTCGCCAAAGGGAGCTCTTTAACCTGAGAGGTTTTTTTTCTTTTTTGTATTTCAGGATAACCTAATTGAAAAGGAAAAAGCATCATATGCCATCTCTGGTGGATGTTGTGCCTTAGCTGCCATTCATTTAATGGGGAAACTCTACGTGGCCAATGCCGGAGACAGCAGGTAAAACAACAAAAGCTCTTTACTGCAGACCCACAGCATCAATTCTGTGTTCCCTCTCCAGCAAACAGAGAATGCAGCTTTATGTGGGAAGTCAGCTTCTTGAGCCCCCTGGGGTTCACTTTGTGTACTGCAGCTTCATTTCGGCTTCAACATTCTATTCATATTTGAGAAAAAAACTCACTCCTGCCCCTACTTCTTTCACCTCGCAGGGCCATAATCATCCGAAATAAGGAAGTTATTCCCATGACGAATGAATTCACACCGGAGTCCGAGAGACAGCGGCTACAGTATCTGGTATACGTCTTTCTTCTCTGTTAACAATGTAATTGGCCGTTGATCTTCACGGTCAAACGAGGTTTTACTTACAGAAAAGATTCGATAAACAGGCATCAGGCGACATCTGGAGACGAGGGAGGAAATCCTGTCCGACTGAAACGATCTAACGTTTGTGGGTTTTTACTTCTGAGTCACACAGTGGGTGGATGATGTTTGCTGCTAAAACCGGGAGATGTTTGGGTTTACGGTACACCGCTCAAGTCACCTCTCGCCCGTGCAGTAGCGTAGCTGTGACGGGCGTTTGCAGTTAGGCGAAGCATTTCATTCTGTGGTTTTGCACAACCCGCCCTATTTGGTGTGTCGCTGCAGGGCTTCCTGAGGCCAGAGCTCCTGGGCAATGAGTTCACCAGCATCGAGTTCCCCCGTAGGATCCAGCACAGCGAGCTGGGCAAGAAGATGCTCTACAGAGACCACACCATGACCGGCTGGTAAACCCGGAGATCCTGTTTAATCACCCGTCTGACGGTTCATCACTGTGCTCTGTACTTGGCGTCCTATAGGGTATTCAATCCAGGGGCAGCAGCCGAATGTTATTCTGAAACTGAGAATTAGAGCTCGAGTCGACTTGTTCAAACGGCTTTTGGAACAAGTTTGAATCGTCAAATATTGATTTTTATTATCGTTGAAGCAACAAAGACAAGCAGATGGCCTCCTTTCTATGTGGTGCCAACTATGTAAAAATTGGTTTCGATTCCTTGTGATGATTAAACAGTGAAGAGAACACGATGGAATTATTTTGCAAACTGTTGCGGTAACTTACATCTCACAGCTGTTTTATCCTTTTAGGGCTTATAAGACGATTGTTGAAGATGATCTGAAATTCCCTCTGATATACGGAGAGGGTAAAAAGGTAAGAGACACGGAAACAAAATGTGTGGCGCTCAATAATCCAAATCCTCTGCAGCTACAACAGTATTTAGGTCTCCTAGTCCGTCTGTGTTATTTGTTAAATTCCTTTGTGTTCATGAAACCGGCTAAACACTTTCACCATGATCTTCGCTTGATGATCCCTCATAAGTGGGTTTTCTTATTTGACTGCGTGCGTCTGTGTCGGCGCGCACAGGCACGCGTCATGGCGACGATCGGAGTGACCCGAGGGCTGGGAGACCATGAGCTGAAGGTGTACAACTCCAACATCTACATCAAGCCCTTCCTCTCGTGCGCCCCCGAGGTGAGTGGCAGGAGACGTCTTACGGAGGAACCAGCAACTTTGGAGATGATCACATAATAATCCCTGACCTGTAAACACCTAAAAGTAACTTTGCTTTATTTTCAAAATGTCTCCTTTAATTTACTCGCGTGAGCACTCACATACTTTTTGTTGTTTTTCTTGATATGCTCTCATTTCTTTCTCAAGCACTTCTCAGCAGGAACCTTCACCGATGTTGTGTCCTTTTCGTCGCAGGTGAAGGTGTATGACATGGAAGAAAACCAGCACGGCCCAGACGACGTCTTGGTCATGGGCACGGACGGATTGTGGGACGTGACGACGGACCGGGAAGTGGCGGACGCCGTGTCGTCCTACTTGTCCGGCTGTGACCCCTCGGATCCAATGAGGTGCGTGTCCTTTAATCCTCGACATCAGGCTTGCGTAGGCGCCCGCGGTGTCCACTTGATGGGGACATGTGTCCTAGTGGCCACGTAGTACAAGTTTCATATTATATTACATGTCCTTGTATCTGGAGCATGTACTGAAGTGATTGATTATGATTCTGTACTTTGGATGTGTTTTTTTCGCGGCTCGCTGCGTTCCTCAGGTACACCCTGGCGGCCCAGGACCTGCTGATGAGGTCACGGGGTGTACTGAAGGAGCGCGGCTGGCGGCTGCCCAACGAGCGACTGGGCTCGGGGGACGACATCACCGTGTTTGTCGTCCCGCTGGCGAGGCCGGAGTCCGAGACATGACGGGGGCGTCGACCTCCCTGCTTGCTCCCTGAGCAATGGACCGCCGGAGGGGGGGGGCGGCGGGAGATGAAAGCACCTTCGCCATAGGGGAGGCGCGGGTCCGACCGGCACCTCCCATCAAGGCGGTCCAACCCGCGTCATTTGGGTTTGTCTCTGTTATGTAGCAAAGTATTTTCAGTGACATCATACGAGAAGTCACCCCCCCCCCTCCCCCCCCTTCCTCCCAGACCCTCCCGCCTGGTTGTTGGCGGCCGCCGGACAGAATCGAACCTCTTGTGGTATTTTTGTTTCCTGTTTGGACCGCTCATCAGTTCCTTTGATTGGATTGATCATTTTCATGTCATACCATGACTGCGACTCCCTTTTGTAAAAAAAAAATTAAAAAAAAGAAATAGAAGAGAAAAAAAAGAGCCGGGATTGCAGCAACGAATGTGAGGAAACCAAACAGATAAAACAGATTTAAAAAAGGCGAATCAATAGATTATTGTCTGTACATTAAAACCGCATGTGGGAAATGGAAGGGACCTTTGTTTTAGCACTGGACTCCCGTTGGGTCTGTATTGCCGCACTGAGGTGCCGATGAATGACGTTGCACATGCTACGTGTTAGCCTGTTGGTTTGTGATATCTGCCCTATTGAATGGGCTTCAATAGGTTTTTGTTTTATTTTTGTCTTTACAATAAAAAGGGTTTTGCTTGTGTTCAGTAAAAAATTATATGAAGCAAAAGGATAATTTTCTTGATGTAACCATGTTTTTTTTTTACTTTCTGAGGAGAAAGTAATTTGTTATCAGTAAATGTTTATAATAATAATAAGGTATAATAAGGTGATAAACTTCACACATATGCCTTACTAAGAGATTTAAGTTTTCCCCCCTCAGATGCACTAAACGTGATATTTGTAAAAGAACATTGTTTGCCCTTAAATATACTGAATACCTCTTTTTTATCATTATTGTTGTTATTTAGACTAGCCATATATTTTTGAAGACGACATGGTTGTAAGCAGTATCAGAATTTTATTTTTATGTTTCTACCCATTAAGTGTGTATTTAGAGAGACGATGTGTCCTAGTATATGAGGTAAAGGGATAATGTGTACCAGCTTGGAAATAAATCAGATTTTTCCCATTTGCTTCTAATTTGTTTATTTACTCAGCCCGTTGCTCAAAAGGAAATGAACTTTTCATGTAAACAACTCATAAGTTTGAATAGTTCAGAGAGACGGTTGGTCCTAATTACCGTTTGAACAAAGTTCAGTTACAATATATTCACTTTTCACTATACTGACTCTTGGCATTAATGTCACTCTGAGCTATTGTTAAGTGATCTTAAGTCATAATAAATATAACCCTGAATTTCAAGAGGCAGCTTGAAGTTTGAAGTTTTTCAAAAGGATGCATTTAACTAGTAGGCCTACGATAACTTTAACTAGTAAATAGTTAAGTACACTTCTTTACAATCAGAATTAATTGTACGGTTAGTTATAAAGTCTGTACATGGAATTTACTGGAATGACTGGTGCATAACAGTAAATATAGTCCATGGTATGAAGGAAAAATTAAATATAACAATTTTTAAATATATGATAGAATAAATCAAACAATAAAAAAAGTGTCTGTGGTTCATGTTCACTGAATCTAAATCATTTAAGGATTAACTGTTGTTTGTTGTGTGTCTCAATGCACAGATTATATAGTGTGTAATTTTCTTCTCTGGCCTTATTTAAACTTATAAGACTATATTATTAAGTAGGAACATCATTTTGATAAACACTTTAGATTGTAGACTATGTACGCATATAAAACGGTCCACTCACACATGTTGTTTTCATTTTTTTTTCATCAGTTCATGCGTTTGGTGACCAACAAAACAGATCCACTCAAAAAACAGCTTCATCAATACACACGTAGAGGCATGTACAATAGATATTCAAGGTAAAATACATCAAAATCTATGTTTCCTCTTCCCACCAACCTCAACCTGAGCACAGTGTTAATCAGCAACAGTAAGTCACATCCCCTGTGAGGGTGTGCAGGGCCTTCAATCAATAATAAGTTGATTAGTCACCACATTGCCTTTGTGTGTAAAACCTTTAGCTGTAAGGAAACTAAGAACGAATAACTGAGAATGAATGTAAAAAGAGTCCAAAAGTACTTTACAAATTTCCCCCTGAAAGGTTGTGGAGGCGTATATGTTGAGTACACATACTGCATAATTGTTGTTAACTACCACGCTTGAGTAAATGTATTTTACTGACATTGACCATTTATGTTGAAACTCAATTCCGTACAGATTGGATGCACGATAAGACGTGCCTCGCACGCACACACACACACACACACACACACACACACACACACACAAACACACCCAGCCGTCCTGTTGCACGAGTCTGCTTGTCCTGCGGATGATGTCATCTTTTACCGGGGGAAGGGAAGGAGGCACGCGGGGGAACCCAGCGACCGCAGCAGCTCCATCAAGTTGGCTAGAACTAACAGTAATAACACCGGAAGTACAATCAGTGGCCTTCAAAGTAACAAACCAGAGTCCCTAACAGAGTCCTGAAACAGTTGTATGTTTTTTTCATTGTTTTTTTGCACAATGTAAGGTCACAACAAAATGCTGTCTAATAATGGAGGACCCAGTAAAGTAGTTGTCTTTAGTGATGCAAATTATGTAATGTAAACATTTAAAATGTCAACGTATCAAATCAAAGAAAAAAAACACATCTGCGTGGGAAAGTGATTTAGCCTTGCACAAATGTTCATTAAACATCTCTCTACTTGTGGTGGCATGTTTCTTATGCTTCTGTTATATATTTAAGGAGAACTTTTGTATATTTTAAATATAAACAGGAGGCAGCGATTGTGATTCCTGGGCTTCTTTAGAAACATGGTACAAACATCTAAATTTAGGTGACACAAAACACAACGAGTCCCTTTTTATGGTGATCAAACATTAAAGATAAGATATTTCATCCCCATAAATGTAACCCCACCCAACGGTAGCGACTGCCCCTTTTATTTTGAAAGGGCCTAAACGGAACCGGTATTTGGTGCGCTTCGCCCTCTTGCTTGCTGGTATCGGTGGGAGTGTCCTGGTCGCCTGCCCCCGTTTCTCAGCACCTTCTCTATAAAATTAGCGAATAATGCAGCAAGACTTCCCAGAGTGTGTCCGCGGATATGTGTCTGTGTCACCAGCGAGTCGAAAGCGAGGATTATTATTTATAAAAACGTCTCACCTGGCTGCAGACAGGTAATTATGAACCGGAAGCTGAAGTTTGACTCTTCGTTCTTATTTGACTGATACTTGCACGCAGCTTGTTCCTCCTTAATTGGCGGTTTAATCCCAGAGTGTAATGAAGTAAGCGAGCAGTGCGCGGGTAGTCGTGTGTTTGTTACACCTGTTGAAGGCTTCAACGTGGGAAGTTTCAAAGTCAGAGCATCGAATCCAGCCGCTGCGACGTCAATAAGCAAATATGAGACATTTCTATTCATAGGAGCGCTTCCTTTCCCTCATTATTTACGCTCGTCGTGTAAGACTTTCTTTGACCTGCCAACAATGACTCCTAAATTGTGTGTGCGTGTGTGCGCGCGTGTGTGCGCGCGTGTGTAACCATATCTGATCACATTCGTTGCATATGGGTTCAACAGTAAGGTCCAATGCATGAAAAATTTAAATCATTAAATTATAATATTGTCCTCATCCTCCTGAACAAGTTCAAACGTAATGAAAGCGGTTGATGATGACCGCAAAACTGTGTGAAGGCAACGATTAAGTAAATTAATAGGTGATCACAGATCACAGATGATGAATCATTTTGGTAAATCTTTTTTTGAAGTAACAAAAATGCCAAATATTTTCTGTTCCAGCTTCTCAGATGTGAATATTTCCTGTAGAAAAACCCTTTGGTTTATAATGTGAAATTCCTTTCATTATAAACCAAATTAATATTAATAGCGTATGGAAGCAGATTCTCTCCTCATGAACAAAGCCCCATGAGCTCAATCTGCTGGTCTCTGGCGGCACAGACCCCCGTATGCTGACGAGATCTGGTCTGGCCGAGTTATTGAATAGAAGTGAGTTATGAGGTGTCTGTTCCATCAGAGCCGTATGGCCTCTTTCTGCCTCCCCTTCCGTTTAGCCTCTCGTCATGGTATGGATACACCGCTTTTTGTTTTTGCTTTTTCCTCAAGGCGCTGATGGTTTCATTTCATTGGCTGTGGAGATTTGTTCATTTCCATGGGGGGCACCAGTAAAGGAAGGAGTGGGGGTGTTTAGTTCCATACGCGCAGTCACTGTATGAAGCCGACCTGATGCTGTGTTTTACACTCCTGCTTTTCTGTAGGAGAACTTGGCAATCACCTTTCAGTTGTATTCACTGGGGTCCTTTACTTCTCTCACAAGCTCTACGTTGTGCTTGAACAACCCAGTGTTTTTGAGAAGTCCTCTCTGTGTGGTCTGGTCTCTGTTGCCTCCTGTCAGATAAAAAGTACAACTGGTTAAAGGTGGTGTAGACCGCCGGTGATGTAGGTCTTTGCCAGTTTATGAGCTTTGACCCCTGTCTCACCTTGAGAGTTGTCGTTTGGATGCTAAAGGGCGTTCTTGTAAGGATCCCGTCACTCAAAAATGTACTTTTAAAAAGTTTTTTTTTTTTTTTTTCTTTGTTTGAATGGGTTTTGCCTTCTTCCGTAGAGATTTCTGATAAAACGTGTAAGCTTGAATGCTTAATCTGTCCCGCAGTCCAAATACAGCCCTGGTTTCATTGCTCTGCTGGTAATGACGTCAGAGTTTGACTGGACTCTTTGACAACTCTTTGTTTGTAATGGAAATCATGCCAAAAACCCAGGAGGTAACGTTCCGTGTTCATCATCTGATTGGTAACTCCACTGCGGTCGGTGTCAAATGCATTAAAAGAAGGTTAGTGGACGAGTGTCCTCCACGGACCTCGACGCGAATGAGTCCTCATCGAGGAGGAAACCTCTTTATCGGTCGGCTGTCTGGCTCTCAGGGTCGCGCCGACTCTGCTCGGCTTGTTGCGTGACCCTGATGGCCCCAGGAAGCGTCCTTCTGGAAGGAGGGGTGTAGTGTCCACCAACCCGGGGCGGCAAATAGTCGTAGGAAGTGATGCTGCTTTCCTTTTTTTTGTATTTGAAGGGTTCCTCGTGTTGCGTTTGAATCTACTGTAATGTAAACTTTCAGTCTGCAAATGGTATCATCTTTTTGTTCGCACAATAATGGAAATAGTACTTTCATACAACTTTGGAGGGTGCAGCAGTTAATGAGACAATGTTTTACACTTCTATCTGAACTTTGCATCGTACACCGAATCAAAGGCTCACTATATAAAAAAAAATATAGATATTGTCTGGCATCACAGTGACTGCATTTTGTCTGCACTTCGACCCAAATAAGTTGCATTGACGCACCGGCGTGATGTTGAACCTCGTGTGGAGGTCGAAAGGTCAGCCAGCTGAGGCTACTTGCAGATGAGTTGATTGCGTCAGGTTGACGTCGGGCTTTGATGTGATGGAGGAGCAGATGAACGCTGGCTGACGCGTGACGAACAGTCGACTACTACGGTGACTCTGTTGCAACCGGCCCAACTTCCTCCTCAGGAGAGCGATGGTTTCGTTTCACAGCGGAGCCCCTGAGGCCTCGGTACTGCGGTCTCCACCTCGCTTGGTTTGGAACCACCAGGCCGTCGCCGCTCCTCTTGGCCATCGGTGCAGCTGAACGTACCGTTTAGTTTCTCTGCAATCAATCGCAGAAACTGTCCCTTTTATTAAATATAATATGTGTTTTTTGTTCAAGATCTTGATTTAGCAAGGAAGGCCTCTAGGTGAAAAGCGGTGGCCGTAATCCAGATATCTGAACGTGTTCGTGATCATTCATCAGTTTTGGTGTTGCTGTGCATCAGCAGAGATTAAACAGTGGGCGTTTTCATAAAGATGGATTGTTCGATAGAAGATAACTTCCTCTAAAGTGTGTTTCCCCACTGTAGAGGATCGCTGTCTGGCAGGAAATGGATGAGGTGAGGCACCAGATGACTATTTGCACAGCTGCTGCCAGGCCCGGGGAGCCGCTTACTCCTCCCTACGCGGCCCCCACCAACTCAACCGGTCCCCTCAACCAGGCCTGTTGCAACAGTGCTCCCTGGTTCTTGCTGATTGCATCTATTTATTTTTTTGCAGCTTATACCAGTTTTTACAGCTCGTTTTTTTTAAGCGTGCAGCGTAACTGATGAGCATGTGGAACAGATTTAGCTTCTGTCTCGTCTGTGCATTTTGAGAGAATGCGGGATATTCTCTACCACCTACAAGAGCACTTGAGGTCAGGTTTTTATCTGCTTTAGGCCACCAGTAAGTGCTTTTACCAGCGGCTCTGATTTCCCGGATGCGTTTTCTTTCCACACGTTGCAGAGGGAAACGAACTGGGAGGGGCTGTCGCATTCCTGCTCGCCCCAGTTTTTCTCTCCCACCAGCTTCCTCCTCGTGTAGCTTTTGTTGTCTTGATGTGTCATCTGTTGGCTAAAGGTCTGCCTGTGATCAGGGAGCACTCCCCTCAGGTGACGCAGACATGAAGGTCTGATGTCCACGTGGCCGCTTTGGAGCAGATAAGCGTTATCTTGTGTTCCTGCGATCTGGAGGAATGATTCAGACATCTGTAGCCTGCAATGCACAAAGGAGATGACAAAAAAGGGACCGTTTGTGTCAAGCAAACGGTCAGCCTATAATGGCAAAATGTATTTTGTAGTACTGCTGATCATCTTGACGCAACGGAGTTTCTTTTCAATATCTGTCTATGCTCTCCTCCTGGTTTCCCGACAGAGATGGCAGCCATTCGGAAGAAGCTGGTCATTGTCGGCGATGGCGCTTGTGGGAAAACGTGCCTCCTCATTGTTTTCAGTAAAGACCAGTTTCCTGAAGTCTACGTTCCAACAGTGTTCGAGAACTACATCGCTGACATCGAGGTTGATGGAAAGCAGGTTCGTACCTTCCTAACACTCTAGCAAGCAGTCTAGACGTGGTTCTTTCTGCTTGCTCTCACGGTCATTTCAAGATGTAATATTAGTGAACAAATTTAGCTTTTTTGCTTTAAAAAGAGACACGAAGGTCGAACGTGGCTCAAGTTCAGTTCGGTGCTCGATTCGATCAAAACAAGTGTCATGAAGTGGTTTCTTTTTTTTAATTTGTTGTTTCACCTGCATGCAGAAAGCAGCAGAACAAAGTAAAAGAAGTAATGTTTCTGCAATGTGGTTGTATTTTTCAGCCCTAGTAAATCGGGGGGGGGGGGGGGGGTTGTTGATAAGAAAACCACTTCTGTGCCTTACATTAAAAGCGTGCGTGCGTGAAATCCTTCGATCGGACTTCCACGTTGTTGGGCACTGAGGCTGGTCTGAGCAGCAGATGGCTCGTTATGTCAAAGGGTTTTGTACCGTTGAGGCCCCCCCCCCACCCCCACCCCTCTCTGCAGGATCCCCGCTTGCCAAAAACAGGAAATGACTCTACTCTCCAACTTCCTGTTCACACAGGGAACAGGGATGTCTTCTGGCAACCCCTCTCTGCCCGATAAACGCCTCTCATTTCCTGTCCTGGTCCCTCCCGGGAGGGAGGGAGGAAGGAGGGAGGGGGGTTTAACTATTGTGTTCTGCACAGGAAATGTGGCGTTGGGATCCATGATTGAAACCAGTAGGTGGGGATCATGTTTGGTCGTATTTTTGGCCACGTTTTTTCAGTTATCCATCTTCAACTTTCAGGCGGGCGGCAGTGAAAAACATCCAGTCAAACAATCATCCCCTAAAATGTTGGTCCTCCCGCCGCTCGGAGGGTAACAGACCATTTCCATTGCACCTTCGATGGATTCGGCAGGCTCTAAAAATAAATGTTCTTATCTTAAGTGTGCGGTGCACAACAAGTCCACTGGGAACGTGACTGGTTGCTCATGCAGCCCCCGCCTCCCCTTCCAACCCTCTGAAACCCTATTTTGGGACCATTTGACTGATGCTTGTGCTCTGTTAGCGTACCGGACTTGCTAATCTCCCACTTTCCCATCAAAGTTGTTGTTTTATTGGTATGTTTCTGTTGCGATGTCGCTCAGGTGGAGTTGGCGCTGTGGGACACTGCAGGCCAGGAGGACTACGACCGGTTGAGGCCGCTCTCCTACCCGGACACCGATGTCATCCTCATGTGCTTCTCCATCGACAGCCCAGACAGTTTGGGTATAAACTATACTAGTAGTTTGGGTTTTTAATGCCTAGCTGGGATAGAAAAATACAGCTTTTGTAACATTAAAAGATGCCCGACTTGTACTGTGTAAAAGTAATATTTGTTTTTGGAGTTTAGTGCTGCTCACATGCTGTTTTTTTTTTTTTTTTCAGAAAATATCCCTGAGAAGTGGACGCCTGAGGTGAAGCACTTCTGTCCCAAAGTCCCCATCATCCTTGTGGGGAACAAGCGGGACCTGAGGAATGATGAGCCCACACGGAGGGAGCTGGCCAAGATGAAGCAGGTGCAAAAGCCTCTGAAGGTCAATCAATGGGGGAAAAAGGAAACCGCACATGGTTAATTGGGGAGAAGTAGGGACCTGTGTGCAGAGTGGGAACATTTCGACAACTCTTCTGAATTATTTATGTTCATATTGATGACAGACATGGCTGACTACTGCATGAAAAGGGGAAGCTTTGTGGTCATGTTGCCCTCGAGAAACTAGCATCAACATACATACATAAAGGGCAAACCGATGAACTATTAACTAAGGAAGAATTTGAGCAATTTTCTTAAATGTCAATGGAGCGATTTAACTTTATTTTACCTGAGATGACTTCCCGTTGTGACAGCGTAAGTAATCTATTAACGGCAGCATATTGGTTTAGTGTGACACAGCATGTCGTTGTGACCTGTTCTCCATCCAGGTCCTCGTGATGGAAACGACACTCGCGTGGGCAGGAATGTTGTCACGACTGCTTTGAAGAATAAATGATTGCAGCTCTGATTATGCTTTGCGTTTTAATAAAAGTTAAAATCTCCTTTGCATCTTCAGTATTTATTATGGTCTATGCTTAAATTCACACCTTTTTTTTACTGTAACATGTTTACGTTATTTTAAGACAAAATAGTCTTTCTGACTAATCCCTGTCTGTTTAAAAAAAAAAAAAATTTTTTTGTATATTACCTTACAACAATTTCTCTTCCAACCCCACAGGAGCCGGTGAGGACGGAAGAAGGCAAAGACATGGCCAGCAGAATCTGTGCTTTTGGCTATTTGGAGTGCTCTGCCAAGACCAAGGACGGCGTGCGGGAAGTGTTCGAGATGGCCACCAGGGCGGCGCTGCAGGTCCGCAAGCCTCAGAAGAAAGGCGGCTGCCAGCTGCTGTGAGCGCGGACCGAAAAGCAGCGACCTTTCACCAAATGACTTTATCTTCACAATAACGGACATAAACTGTATGCAAAAAAAAATAAAAACAAATACAAGGAATAAACTCTAACTGTGCTTAGAAATGTATTTAATTCCGTTTTCATTGCCCACTTTTTCTTATTTGTAGTGTAAGGGATGTACTCATTTGTGTGCATCCCTTACAGCGACTGAAAGGAAGGCCCAAGTCTGAAACCTGCCCTCTTTTGTTGAAAGAGGGGAACAACCTTCAATCTTTTTCTTTTTTTTGCATTCCGGCACAAATGAAGGTCACCAGCTGTTGGACCTCGTTGGCCCAGTGGTGGAATCTGTGTCTTGTCAGAACTGTTGGTAACTGAGTTTTGTTTTTTCGTGGTGCCTTCGCTGATGTGCCTTTTTAGTTTTCTCCCAGAACAGGATAGACCATCTGCACTATGCTAAACATCCAGTGACCAGGTCAAGAGTGACATTTCTGCACAAAGCACGGCTATTAATATTTAATCCTATGCCTCATCTTGTCAGGCAAAGTAGAGAATGCTAATTTGTTTCATACTTTCAAGAATGAATCGTGGGAAAATTCTCCTAAAAATATTTCTATATCTGCAGGTAATATCTCTTTAACAGTTTAGTGTTACTCGTCTGGATCCATGTTGGACTTGAGCTTCCCTTGGTGATAAACATTTGGTCTCATGTTGAATATCAATGGTCCACTCTGAATTTGCCGTTACACCACTTGTCTCCCCTCAGAATAGATTTGACTTGCAATGCTCCAAAGGGCCAATGACGTCTTGCACTGCTTGTAATCTCCATAAACTACGGCCATATCAGTTATGCCATTTGTAAGGCAACTTCCTACGCTTTCAGTGTGTGGTTGAGTTGAGGTTGAGAACTATTTAGCTCTATTAAAAGTCCCTGAGCATGTATAATGTGGTTTGTGTATACAAATAAAGTTAAGAAAACTGAGTTAAGCGAGCGGTAAACGTCCAAAGTATTTTAAATTCTAATGCTTTGTAAACTTGACTGATTTTGTGTGAATATTGTTACCCGGTCAACTCTCCTCAGGTATGGTTTTACATCAACTGTTCTGCCAGGACAACGTGGTTCAGAAGTAGATTTATTTCATGTATCAGATCATTTTAAAAGGTTAAATGCAAACAGCAGTAAGACCACGGTGAATTCCTGAGAAGTGTAAGTCATTTTTTTTACCGTGCCAAACTTTATTTAAAAAGCCACTGGAGAGAAAGTCAAGAACAGGATTTAATGATTAATTTGTAGCATAAACATCAAAACCTAAACCGTGATTAAAATGATATATTCCTAAACACTAGATGCCAATGTCAAAAGCTCAGAAGAGAGTGCATATGAATCCTAAGTAAATGGAGAAGTCTTTGATTTGTCACTGCAAATTCTTTTGAGAGACGTTAATGCTCATTCTTCCAATGTTGGTCCAGGAAGCTTTCTTCTACAGGATCTATGACAAATGCACAAAGACAACATTTTTTATTTCTTAATATGACAAAGGCAATTTGTTTGATTTTATCTTGAGGTTCTATCTGAACTGACCGTCAGACTCCACGCTGATTTTCAGGGTTGCCAACCGTGACACAATATCGTCCTCTCCTTCAGCGTCGTCAAAGTGAAATCCAGTGTAGCCGTTCTCCTGCACGCAGTAGCTGATGAACCTGCACGTGAATAAACAGACACAAATTGTGCAAAAGTCGTGTAGTGCTCCTGAAAGAAAAACAAACATGGATATCTAAAACTAAATCTATAACTGGGTAAACTTCAGCCGCTGTTACAATACAGACATGAGCAGTTTTTTGCCATTTCGATGGTCAAGAATACAATCCCAATCAAATTCCCATACAAGGCTCACAACTCTCTCTAAAATGGAAAGAATCCTCCTCTTGGATTCCATCTGACATCTCGGCCTTACTTCTCCCAGGTGGGGTCCTTGTTGAGGATCACAGGGTTTCCCACAACTATCAACAGGGACCTGGCTCTGGTCAGTGCCACGTTGAATCTCTGCAGTAAGATGCACACACACACATTAAAAGGAAAATGAGAAAAATATATTAAAAGACCCTGCCGGTTTCCTCATATGAAAGAAAAATGAATTTCAAAACGCACCTTTTCGTTTGACAGGAATCCGATGCTGAAGTCTTTGTCCATCTTGACGTAGTTGACGCTGCTGCGGACAGTAGAGACCATGATGATCCTCCTCTCTTGTCCCTGAAACTCCTCCACAGACCCCACCTGGCGGCGCAAAGAGAAAGGTACAAATCGGGGTTTCAAATAATATACATAACAAAATCCGTATTTCCTTTAACGTGTGTATTTAGGGACACAGGAGAACAGCATTTTTTAACGTCCCCGTCTTGTTTACATGCCGCCGAGTCTTTAAATGAGCATCCTTGTATTTCTTTCACTTAAACAGATGAGGATATGTTAGGAGCGGCATTGCGAACCTTCAGCTCTTTGAGATCACTCAATCCCTTCAGAGCTGCGACGGACCTCAGGGCCTTTTGGATCTTCTCCACCTGTAAGAAAAGTAAGAATGTTGCCGACGTCGTGTTCAAACTGTTCATCCACAACTGTAGAAAACACGACTGAATGGCGGTCAGACCCACTTGTTTCCTGTAAGGGGCGATTATGCCGATGTCTTTAGCCGAGAGTTTGGGGAGACCGTCCTTTCCTTGCGTTTCCATCAGCTTGGTCAGGTAGTCGACCAGAACTTCAATCTCACACACGTTGAAGAAAGAGGGACTGTTGGCCTCTCGCTCGTCTTTCCCCATCACGCCGTGGAAGATCAGAGGGAAACCCTGTAGTGACCAGAGAGCGAGCGGCTGTCGGTTACCCACCCGAGCGGTGTGCATGGTCGCCTCACAACAAGAAGGTCCAAATAATTATTTCTTTACATGCATACAACTAGGGATACAACTAGACGGATACAAAATGAAATGGCCCCAAATCAGCGCAGCACAGGTGGAAATATCCTGACTTAAAAGTCCCCTGGTGTGGGTCAAGTTTTATCATACACTTCCCATAATGCAACAGAAAAGCACTTTTTGTATTCGGTTTGAATGTAGATCATTTGTACTTTGCCATTTCACATGTAACTATAAATATATATTCACATTGTAACTATTACTATTTTGAATGGTTTGCTATGTATGAGGACGATATCACTGCTGAGATGTCATTTTAGAAGTTTAGAGAAATTACTAAACAGAATATCCTTGCAGCCATACTTTTTGGGGTAGGTGTTCCCAGTTGCAGTAGGTCTCACGCTCCCCCCGGTCAGCAAACACCTGCAGTTCATTCTCATAGAAGAGCTCGTTGGGGATTTTCAGAATGGAAGCGTGAGACCTTAATTAAAAAAAAAAAAAAAAGAATCAAAAAAGAAAAGCTGTAGAGCTTTAATTAAAATTATAACAAGCAAAATGGAGGTGAAAAACAGAAGACGTACCTGTAGTTTCGAAGCAGTTTGCTGACAAAACGGGTGTCAAAGTGCCCCGACTCTGCGTTTTTCTGATACAAAGTGTTCTGTTTCATCAGTCTCTCAAGCAGAGACAGCCCTGAACCAAACACAATTATCTCAGACTTACATTCTGTGCCTCCAAATAATGTGGTGCCTGGACCCTGAACACACAGCAACAACTACTTACCAAGTCCATACTGCTGGGCGAAACGGGACCGGAGGATCGGCCCCAGCTGCTTGGGATCTCCTGCCAGCACCAGCTGACCACTCTCTGTGCTGAGCAGACCTGAGACACAAAGTCAGACCCATCGGGGACAAGATGCACCTCTTTCTGCTCTGGGGAAGCTCTAACCAACTTATACATCGGGGACCTTTAATCGTAAGATCGTAAGAATGTGAACGTACTGACAGATGTGTTCGATTTAACGCAGATGTACTGTTAGTCCGACAATTGACGTCTGGAAACCGCAAAAAGCTGCTTACCTGCAATGGCAATGACGCACTCTGGCTCCACGGCCTGGCCTCCTTCATCCAGAAAGACGTGGGTAAAATGGCCGACTGGGATTCCTCCGGACACCAGCCTGAAAACAAAACACAAATATTATCATAATAACAAGTGTAAAAGGAAATGAATTACAGTTTAAACTAAAGGACAATGCCAAAAGCCAACTAGAGCAGCATAGTGAATAAATACTGATAAAAGCCGCTTACCTGCCGGCTGTGACCATTGTAGTAGCTATGATCCTGTATGTCATCAGAACTTCTTTCTCTGGAAACACAAAACCCGCCTGGGTCTGGTCCCAGTTGCAATTTGTCTAGAAGGGACAAAAAAAATGAGAAAATTTGTGAGAAAATACACTTAAAATGCAGATATAATGCTGTTCTATCCAGAGTATACCTGTTCACACAGTTTGGGTAAACAAAACACTTTTACTTTAACAATGCCTTAATATGCAGAATTACTATCTATTCTATTGAATGTTAAGGGACCAACATACAACCTAATTTGATGATTCGTGTTCACATAAATCAGAGGATATCGAAAGCTTAAATGTGTTTATTTGCAATTCCCCACCAATCACAGCCTGTTTATATGCGGTAACCGGATTATGCCGTGGACGTAGAAAAGCCAGCGGATGCTCACCAGCAGGGTCGTGGGGATGCTTCTTGGGTCTCGGCTGCTGGCGTAGACGCGGTAAATCTGAGAAGCGTCCGTGTGAACCATCAGTCGCTCACAGAGGAGGTCGCACGCACTGTTCGAAGGAGCGCAGGCGAGGATGCGGGCTGACGGGTCTGCAAGGCTGACCTGTCGACAAAAGCAAAAGGGAAATTTGTCACTTTTGTCATTACCAACAAATAATTTGACGCTTTGCTGAAAAGAAAATCAGAAACAATGTTGTTGCAGTGTGTACGTCATTGAAGTAATTTGACCAGTCATAGTCCATTTTAAACACATAGATGTGTGATTTATGTTTCAGAACACTCTAAATGAAGTCTAAATATCAATATGATAAATATTCACGAACAAATAATCAACGGGTGTGAAAAGATACCTGCTGTTGTTCTACTGAGACTTCAATCAAAAATTAAATCTGATTTAGAAATATGAGGGTGCGGTTTGATTGGATTATACCGACAGTGGCATCTCCGTGGCAACCAAGCACCCCAACCCCTTTCTATAGCCATTTCCCTCCCGCCAAAAGAAGTGACATCATATTTGTCCAGTAAGGAAAGACTTAATACCTGCTGCATAGCTTCGACCATGGTGATCGTCTTTCCAGTTCCGGGGGGTCCAAACACCAGATGGGGGGCGGGCTTTGACGATCCGGCCACGATGCGCTGCACCGCGGCTCGTTGCTCCGGATTGTTTTCCAGCTGCTGGTTGAACATCCTGGAGAGTGACGATAGATGAACGCGTCTTTAAACCGTGCGCGCCGGTGAAACACTTTACACTTCATGCGTGCGTCCGAAAAGACACGGCGATCCTCGATATTTTTCCCCTAATCCACTCAATGCAGGCGTGTGGCATTTCACCCAAGAACGGCCCGTTCTTACGATAGGGCGGATAAGATCCCGGAGAGCCGAGGCTGTTGGGCTCACTCTCTCGTCACCAGGAGTTCATGCGCTCTTATCAATTATACCAGATGGCGTCGAGCTCCTTTTACTCTACCGGCACACGAGATACAGACTCTGAGGTGGTTTGCTTTGTGCGCTCGTAGAAGATCTTTGAACTTTGGGTGCAAGCAGGCACCGTACCGGAGTTCAGGCGTGGCGCGCTGAGCCACCGCCGCCCCAGACGGAAACAGCACCTCGCCGAGCCCGTGATTTACCGCCAGCTGCGCGGCCCGATGTTGCAGCCTCAAGGAGTGCCGGTTGAGAGTGAACTCGACGTCAAACTTCATGTTGCCGATGCAAAGCTGCAGCAACCTGAAACGTGGGCAAAATGAGAGGAAAAGGTGTTTTATTCACCGCCTGAGGCGTAGACCGGGTGTCCCAACAGACGAGGGTCCGCGGCTCGGCTCGTACCTCTTTGAGAAGCCCAGCTTCACGCTGTCCAGCTCCACTCTGTGGACGTACCCAGCGTACACGGTGATCGGCTGGACCGTGTCCCCTGATTTGGACACCCTGAGACAGTCTCCTCGTAGCACAGACGGACGATTCTCAGCTACACCAGGAACCTGTTGAATAAACAGCCGTGTTTTGTTTTTTGTTTCATTGCAGATCAGAAGAAGGTGAGGACTGATTTACTCTGAGTGCGAGGAGTTTTTTGTTGCTCTGGTCTTGGATCATGGTTTGATCGTGGAGGTCGTACTTCCTGATGTCCACCTCCATCTGGATCTCTTCCAGGTGCAGCAGGAGGCTTAATCTCTGAGCATATGTCTTCATCTGCAAGGGAGAGTCGAGGAGACCCCTGGGCACAAAGCACACGCACTCAAACATTGTGCCCATCCGGGAGTTCAGCCCGCAAAATAGATATCGCTGAAAATAATTGGCTTGGTTTCTCACTTCACTGAAGCCAATTTCTGCCTCGCAGCTGGAGAGAGGTACTCCGAGTCCTCCATCCTTTGTTTAGCCAGTTCCTTCAGATAATAAGGGTACCTAAAGTCTCCTGATTTCACCGTCGCCTTCGGAGGCTGGGCCCCAGATCTGCATCGAACAAAACCAAATCCCGTCACGCATGAATAAAAGCACACTTGTGTGAAAGGTTCTGGGTCCATTTGTTGATCGGTTCCCATTATCAGGGAAGAAGAGTTCTCTCAGCCATCCCCCAAATCCACGCATCTACGTATACATCTTTTTATACCTTACCTCTGAGGAGGTACCCCCTCCACTAGCACAGTGTTGACGGGCTTGTACGTGACCCTCTGGAACGGTTCGTAAGGAGCCACGGGCCCCAGCTCCTCAGCCAGAGGGGTCGCGGCTACTGCTTCCATCTCCCTCACGATGCAAAAGGGCGCCGACGCCGGCCCATCGGGGCAGAACTCAAAGTACATGGTGGCGGGGAAATACCCGTAGTGGTTGAGCCTGTAACAAACCACGACCTCGTAGCTTTCTCCTGTGAGAGAAGGAAGGCGGAAGAGGAGGAGACGTGAGCGTCAAATACCTCTCCCTTAAAAAACAGAGCCGGGGGGGGGGGGGTCAGTGGTCTCACCGGGACAGAGGAACAGCGGGGCGGCTCGGTTCACTCTCCTCTCATCCTCCAGGGTGAAACAGCGGATCTTGTGCAGGGCCGTGTAGGAGGTGAAGTGTACGGAGTCTGGGCCCTTGTTCAAAATGTGGAACCTGAGGAGGAACGGCTCCCTCAGACGACCCACGGTGAACTGCACCTTGCCGCCGCCGCTCGCCACGGGGTCCGAGGTGATCTCAATGCCCCCCTTGTCAGCGGTCAACTTCTTCCTGTAGGGGAAGAGGGTCGTCGTCAGGCTGCAGAGTTTACAAACTGTGAGGCGTGGAACTGAGAGAGAAAACACTGTATGAGTCGAACACTCCCATCTGTTGTGTAACGGAGTCTGTCCTCTATCAGATAAATGATAAATGAAAGTCTTTGAGTATCTTCACAGGGTTGAAAATTTAATCTGAATCCCATTATTTCTCTTCAAGGGGTTTGCTACATTTGGATATGGGATATGAGAGCAGGCGGCCGGTTGAAAAGCTGCAGAATGTCCTCCCGAGCAGGATCCGCACTGAGGACACAGTTGATCTTTAGTACTTTAACCGCTAATCTGCCCAGGGGCCCTTAGGTCAACAGTCTATCACAGGACCAAGAAAAACACAGATTCCCTCCTGTAATTATGTTGTTTTTTTCACTATTACTTGCATATTTGTGTGTATTTAAATCCAACTATGTTAGTATATATATCGAACATAAAAATGTAGTTTTTCTTCCTTCCTTCCTTTCCTGTTACTTTTATTAACTCGTTTTTTTTTCCTGCCCGTTTTATTCCACCCTATCATGAGGGCGGAGAGGGCGTTAACTGCATTTTTGTTGACCTTTTGTCGTACAGGAAAATAAAATTGAACCTTGACCTTCAAAAGCCACCAGAAATATGACGGCAAAGCTGGTTCCGTTTTTTTCCAAACATATGGTACAGATTTCTTCGGTTGTTGTTAGCGTTTGTGTGATTCTATGAAAGTTTGTTATCTAGGTTCATATTATAATCAATGTTTATGTTTTATCCCCAATATGCACTGTAACTGAACCTACAGTTGCATGTTATGAACACAGCGTGAAGATCACCAGTTTCTTTATGTCAGTGCACACGAAAGGCCGGACAATAAAAAAAAATAGACTTAATTTCAAATGGCAGTAAAACGCTACAAAAGGGCCGACTCGCACCTGTTCACCCGCAACTTGTGGAGGATTTCCGTAGCCAGCTTCTTCTTCGGGGTGAGCACGGGCTTCATCGGAGTTGAGGGGCCAGAGGAGGCCGACGACGACGGCGTCCCATCCGTCGTCGTCTGAGAGTCAGAACCTGGAGTGTGTGGAGCCTGAGGGGCCCGGGGCCTCCTCCATTGGTCGCAATACACTCGGACCTGCGGTGGTGTTTCAAAAATAAATAAGCAAATGCATACAATGACACTTGACATCTATTTTCTTCACTCTTGTGTGCAGTCCTGCTCCCTCAACAAAGGAAAACAAAAGGCAAATCTCACCTGAGGCTTGACATTTATGTAGATCTCCCCATTCCTCGCGCTTGCTTTTTGGAACTTCACCAGGGCGTAGAGGACATTGCTAAAGGAAGGGTCTTTAATTCCTTCTCTGTGAACATAAGCACACGGAAAGAAGTTAAAACCACCGCATTGTGTTATTTTTTTATTTTATTTACATTTTTTGTCGCAGCCTGACATTACCTGCCCCTGAACTCAGAGTTGTAGATGTTGCGAAGTTCTGTTTTACTGGTGGTGGATGCTCGGTCGCCGAGAAACTCCACAAAGTCCAGTCCTGACTCGAGCGACTCTTTGAGCGGCATGACGTCGTGTCACAAGCCGCCGCAGCTGACTCTCCACCGGCTCCCGACGAGGAAGTTCACCCGGTTCACCGACCGCCTCCCGTCGGTCTCCTCGACGCTGCGAATACGCGGCACGTTTCCGCGATGCTAACAGCTAATGTGTTGCGCGCGCCTCGGGGATTGTTCGCGGTGTACAGAAACCTTAACTAACGTTACATTCTGGACGGGTGCCGGGAGGAAACGTCAGCGTGTGTTTCACATAAGAAAAAGACGGCGGGGGGGGCGGTCGGCGGAATAAAATGCCGAGTTGGAACGAACAACTTAAGCGCAAAAGTCTTGTTTCTTTATTTGTCAAAGCTCAGCTGTTGAATTCCAACCCGCTTCCCGACTATTGCGGCGAGGAGGCTCCACGTCCTCAGACGCGTCATTGTTGACGCTCCCTGAGCCGCGTGGGGGTCACGTGAGATGGGCGTTTCCAGCTTGTGATCACGTGTCATCATTTTCTTCTCAAAGCACACGTTCATTCCAGCTGGTGAGAGATCATATCGGCGACTGGAAAGATTGGAAATGTGATAGCAAAACATAAATAACGTCACGTGTATTACTTTTTAACAAAACGATTATTTAACAGTAATTGTTAGTGAACTGTTTTATATTAATGTAATTGTATATGAATTAATAGATCAACTAATCAATACATTCACAAATTATTTCAGCTGTAATTGACAGTCAACAGAATTGATCAGCGATAGAAGTTTGCAATATGTATTCTCAAAATGCTCACACACAAAGCAACAGTGCACTTGAAAATATAATGATTATATTCTTCGTTTGGAGTGACTGACTTGAGTTGTCACTTTTCACTCGTCACTTTTGTCACTTCCTGTTCGCTAGTGCACTTTTTAAATATTTTTAACCTGTACTTTATTCTTTTATTTTAAACTAACCCATAGCCTTATTCTACTAACTCATAGCAATTATCTCATTGAAACCACCAAATTAATTCCACATTTCGAAGACTAAAAAGCAGGATTCTCTGTCCCCTGAAGGTGCTGATAACGGAGCATGGAGACCTGGGCAACGGCCGCTTCTTTGACCCTCACAACAAGATCTCCTTCAAGTTTGACCACCTGAGAAAGGAAGCCAGCGACCCCCAGCCCCACGACGGCGGATCAGCCCTCAAGTCTTGGAGGGACACCTGCGAATCTGCCCTGAGGGCCTAAGTGCCCATTGTCATACTGTCTACTGTCATGCACCAACTGCCAAGTCAAAATCCTTGTATGTATGACATATTTTGGCAATAAATGTTTCCTGATTCCTGATACATACTTAGTTGACGTGTAACATGAAATGTAAAGTGAAGGAACGCAACGGAACAATTTTTCCATATACTGTAATGCCAAATTCCCCATCACAACCCAAACTACCTGAGACATTGTTACGTTCTTAAATGTTGTTTGTCAACCTAAATCTCTAAATACATACATTTCAAATTGTATCCCACTACACAAGGATCTGGTGTTACGTACAAGATTCTAATGGATAATACTAAAGTTTATTTCAATTATTACCTTTTTGCCAAAAAACAGTAAGAACCATTGTACAAAAGGGAACGTGTTACGAGTGTAAAAGTCCTCCCAGGTCAATAAATGCCTCATATTCCCAGAACACACATGAAAACATCTAGTGTCCATCCTCTCTAAAAGAAATTCCATACAAACACAAAGTGATCACCATTGCTTGAAGATTTTTATTTCATGAATATTAAATGTACTTACAGTATGTATAAAAAAATATAGCAAAAGCCAAAGGCAAGACTATCAGTTCAGGGCAGTATACAGGGATTATCACCAAAAATGTCCTCTGACAACATAAAGAAAAGATCGCCATAAGGGAGACAAAATATGGTCAGTGAATGGACAAAAAAAAAAAAGTATGCTCTGGCTACAACCCTGAATTGATAGTGATGGATGTCTAAAATTAAATCTTCAGACGTATAATTTGGTGCCTTAAAGTGTCACTTATAGTTAATATATCAAATTGCATACAGTATCTGCGTTTTGTTAATAAGAAACTATAGTAATAGGTATATCTTGAAGATGATCAGTCATACAGAGTGTATATTAGTTGCTATATTAAATTCAAGGGGTTTTGGGAGAATGGGTCCATCCATTTTGAAGCACTCAGATCAGAAATGGTGTGTGTGACAATTTGAATAGGAGGAAAATAACCAAACGTTCAGTGTTAATAGAAGCCTTGTTCGTTTTGTTCTTTTTAACTTATAGCTTTGCCAATGAGCGACAGTGGCATCACTCAGCGTCTTTGTAAAATGAAGGTGTTTCCTCGTAGCAATGCGGCTGTCCCTCTCCGTTAAACCCCCAGAACAAATGTCTGTTTTAGCAGGACATACAGTACGTTACATTGCAGCGCGCGTTTTTTGCGAGCGTCAGCTTCTCCCACGTTTGCGTGTCGGCGCGCAGTCGGCCTCTTTCCTCTAAGCGTTCTGCATCTCCTTGCCGATCTTGTAGCTGAGGATCTTGTTCCAGTCGATCTTGGTGCGGGTGACTGGCAGCTGTCTGCGTAAAGCTTTGAACGTGGTGTCCGACATGGTCTGATAGTTCTCACTGATGGCCAGCTGCAAAACAACAAATACGTGCATGTCTTGCAATATGTGCAATTATTACGATGACTATTCTTTATCATTTCTCCTTGTCTATACAATACTTTTTTTCTCAATTTGTTTTTTTTTTATGGCTTACAGGCATCCGGTATGTCTTGTATGCTGTGCATGGCATAATAATATAATAAAAGCGCACATACAGGGTCAATTCTTGTTTTTTTTTAACTCCCACATACCTGGTATTCATTCTCCGCATCCTCAATAATTTTCACGAGCTCTTTTGCAGTCTGGCTCTCATTCTGAAAAAACAAATACATTTGTGGGTTAATTGAACAAATGAAAACACACATAAGCATACCTATGAAAAACTATAAATAATTGATTACTTTTACTTGACAAAAAATAATCTTTACTATATCGCAGCTTAAAATAGAAGAACTATTACAATGTTACCATACTTACAGACACGGTCAGGGATTCCTGCACATCCTTATGGCTGGCCAAGTTGCACATTCCCATCCTCGGTATAACGTACCGGGATATGAGGGAAGCAGAGACTACACCAGTGAAACAATAAATATCTCTCCAGCGGTGTTATATCCAAACCAGCCAACCTCACACACACACACACACACACACACACACACACACACACACACACACACACACACACACACACACACACACACACACACACACACACACACACACACACACACACACACACACACACCTGTACTTTCAAGACTCCGACCAACTGTGCTGTAGATTGCGAGACGCTGAACTTCCATTCAGATCGGCAGCAACCGTTCCTGGAAACAGAGAACATAAAAGAGAACACTTGAAAACTAACCCCCATAACACACTGCCTGTATGCGGCAGCAAACAGAGTTCTCTCAGGGAATTTGATTAGAGGATTACCAGAAGTTTTTAGGCTCGAATTGATGGCCCTGGATACAAGCGATGATGGTCTGCTGGCCATCAATTGTTTTCCCATAAACCTGCAAGCAGAAAAACAACACGATGAGCGGGTGATTCATTGAGAGTCGTGCTGCATATGGCTGTGCGGACGAGGAGGGCGTTATTACGGTGCAAACGCCACTTTGGTAGTGCTCCTTCACGTAGGCCCTCAGGGCAGATTCGCAGGTGTCCCTCCAAGACTTGAGCGCTGATCCGCCGTCGTGGGGCTGGGGGTCGCTGGCTTCCTTTCTCAGGTGGTCAAACTTGAAGGAGATCTTGTTGTGAGGGTCAAAGAAGCGGCCGTTGCCCAGGTCTCCATGCTCCGTTATCAGGACCTTCAGGGGACAGAGAATCCTGCTTTTTAGTCTTCGAAATGTGGAATTAATTTGGTGGTTTCAATGAGATAAGAAAAGCAATAAGCTTGCCTGATCTTCATATCCAGCAATCTTGGCCAGGGTGAACTGATCCATGTTGTACTGGGCAAAGGCACTACGTCAAACAAAGAAAAAACAACCACAATTTGCATGTACATCCGGAAAATATTTTTTTACCACAAAAGAAAAAAATGACAATCATAAAACTTACTGAGCCGCGCCCTCCCTGAGAAGATTATCATTGTTGAGCAGTAGTCGCACATCTGAAAAAGATAAATAAACATGACAAAAGCATTAACGGACTGCGCCCCACACACACAACAAAACAGATGTGATCCTAAATACGTTTGATGCAGATAATGCTCACCATTAAAGACTTCATTGAACTCTCCTGGGGGAGAGTGCATCACAAAGTTAGCTGCAATTCGGACCTAGAAATAAATACAACATGCGTCAATGAAAACATTAAAAGGCGCAAAGCACAAATACAATGTGTAACGTATTGGTTTATTTCCCCTCTTGCGCAAAGAAACTGTGTGGTAGAGCAGAAAAAAAACACAGACGCCTCTCTTCTTGTGCAATTCATCCGCTTTTGAGATTCAGTGAAAAAGAAACCCTGCAAATAGCCACTAGAGCGAAGCAGTGAGCTGTCGTTCTCCGTGAGGTTGTTGGTTCTACTTTGGCCACTCCTTAGATGGCAAACAGGGAATGTCCCCCCCCCATGGGCTTTTCTTAGCAGCCAGAAAGCAAGTGTCAGCATGAGGTGTCACAGCCACAGGGTGAAGACGTTGCTTGTTGATCTCCTAACTGGTCAAACGTAGCAAGGACGGTACAGTTCAAGAGAAGGTGCACAACCCTTCATTTGTGACCGTCCTCCATCCCAACGTAGCGATGCCGCCTGTCAAGCAGACTGTTATTTAGCCTCCGGGGCCCCCAGCTGGCTTTGACCTACAATGGGCTGCAGTGGGGCCTAACAACGAGTAACCTAATTTGATCGTGCTCCAGAAAGAAAAAAAAAAAGTTACTCCATTCAGAGCCCAGAAGGGCTCAGACCCCCCCACCCCCAATCCTTTCATTTCACCGACTTGTTTACCGCCACTATAAGACGGTCTGTTGCAGTGATGCTCGGAGAAGTTGGATCCTGTCAGCTTGAGGAATGCAAAGCATCACTTATTTTTTTTCTCTCTTTACAACATGTCTCACCATGAGGGGGGGGGGGGGGGGGAGATGAGAAACACCCAGCCCCAGAAGCACTGCAGCCACACAGCACACAAGGGTGCGAAAACACAGTTAGTTACACAAGCTAAATACCGGCAAACCGCTGGGAACAAACCCGCGTTTAAGCAGCTGCATTGGGTTTCGTTGGACGGGGTGTGGGTGGCCGATGCGCTGCCCATTATCCGCACTGTAAATGCAGGAAGTACAGCTACTTCCTCCCGTTTAGCACCGCCGTTAGTTCGTCGTTTAACTCGTCAGACATCGAACATGAGTCACTTTTAACCGAAAACTCACACACGTTAGATGACTTACGTTGTGTATTTGTTAGCTGAAAAGAAACAGTTGGCTGTAATTCTGAACTGTCAAAACACAAGCCCGCCTGGCTTTTAGCCACGGCGGCCCCACCAGCCGCCACCTTTTACGGTCTGGCAATTCACGCTAAATAGTAAGTGTCTCACAGAGCACTGTTATTTCCCGAGCCTAGTATTGAGGATAATCGAATAATCACATTAGTAGTGTATGAAGTAATACCTTCTCTTCATCGCTGAGCTCTTCGAAGTCTGCCATCTTGGCTCGATGAAGCGTTAACAAAGCGCCCGTCGACGTTGCCAGGTTTGTGTGACTCCTCCCGTCGCAGAGATCCGCCCGACCGGGGACAGACTGCCCCGCGGCGGGCAATCTCGCCGTCCGTGTTGAATGATGAGTGTGCAATAAATGTTTAAGTACTCAAACATAAATTATAGCTGCAAAAATATCGGTCACAAAGGTGGTATGAAAACGACCAAAAAAAATACCGATGTAACGGTACATATTTTATAACTATTGAATCAGCAACTTGTTCTTGTGTTTGTTAATTCAGTAGTAATTTCAAAATATGTATGGAGAGAATATTTTCTCTCCATATTTTATTATAATAAATGTATATTGTGATAAAATACCATATATTACTTTCACGTACAAATTAAAGCTGGCAAAATACAAACCTGGCAACTACAAGGCGTTCAGGACATGTGGGACAAATATGCGAAAACAACTGGAAACAACTGTGTTTGTTTGATTTTTAAGACACAGACTATGTCGATGTGAACGCCTTGATTGTCAACTTTTAGAAGTATGCTATTACGTACTTGTATTACGTCTTGCATGTCGATATACAAGCTAATTAAACTATAGAATGTCAAAATTACGATAACTCCGATAATACCTGAAGGCGGCATTAGGCTGACTCACATGTTTGAAGAAAAAATATTGAATTGACTAAATTAGGAATTAAAGGTAATATTGAAAATATATAATAGGTCAAAAAATGTAATGGAAAAAAAGTCATCAAATATTTGGTCAAAAAATGTTTTGAAAAAAAAACTAAATATGTTTAAATAGTATTTAATGAAAAAAGTCAAGATACGTTGGGTCAAAAATATAATGTAAAAATATGTGGGTCAAAAAATGTTTTGAAAAAAGTCAAAATATATTAGGTAAAAACTTCTTTTGAAAAAGAAAAAAATGTGTTTTGGTCAAATAATGTTTTGTAAAGAAAGTGGCAATGTATACAGTCGAGAAATTACTTTGAAAATATGTTAGGTCAAAGTGTTTAATGGAAAAATTCAAAATATAATAGATCAAAAAAAGTTATGAAAAAGACGAAAATCTGTACGAATCTAAATAGATTCGTCATGTAAAAAAAGAAACAAATGAGGTCAAAAAGGTTAACAAAAAAAAGTACGTAGGTAAAGTAAAAGTATGTTATGTCGACAAGTGTCATGGAAAAATGCACTTTAGCTGGAAGGCTCTTTTTTTCAACGTTCATTTTTACACTCTGAAAGTGTCTGCGCGCGTGTGTGTGTGTGGGGGGGTCCAGTTCTGGCTAACGATAATTGTTGGGGGTGATTTGATTATACTGTACGTCCTCGTGTGTGGCACAAAATGAAATAGTATCCAAACCACAAGTAGTATTATGCAAGTATTCAGCACAACGCAGCCTCGGAGATGAAAGGCAAGCTACCGTAAAGCAGTGGTAGAAGAAGAAGAGAGCTACCGTAAAGTAGTAGAAGTAGAAGAGCGGCTTTGTGAGAAGCTAGCCAAGTTGCTAACGTTCGGACCTGTGCGCGACCGTCAGAGTCTGTAAACAGAGATCAAAATTGAATCACTGAAGGTGGGTAAATAGTTGCTATGTTATCCACAATACAACAACATGTTCGGTGATAAACATATTCTCAGCGTATCCATTATATAACCAGTCTCAAAATGCTAACGTTAGCTGTTTGCTTTTAAGATACCAGATGGCTATGCTAAAGCCAAGTAGCTAACATCAATTGAAGCTGACCTGGCTACGTGACATTTAAAACGTATCCGCGTGAATGTGTAACACGCCGACGTAAAGCGGTGCAGAAGCGTAGCAAGTCGTTTTTTTTTAAACCTTTAAATAACCGCGTAACCGTATTCGCATTCGACCCCCTCTGTCTAACCGGCGCTGTTAGCATGTGGCTCGCCATTTGCAGCGCGAGCGGCGTTCCAATACCCGCATGCCGCCCCGGTTAAGGATCTAAACATCCCATGCTGGACATTTATCCGAGGCAGAAGAGGGTTTACAATTTGCCAAATAACTGTATATAAAAAGCGGCGATGATGTTAGTTTAATCTGGATGGATGGATTATTATAATTAATGTTCTTATCTAACACCTGTAGATAATGAAACCAGATAACGCAACTGTCAAGTGTTTTGCCACGTTTAATTCCAAGGATCTTACTGAATTGGGCACCTGGTAATGATACTCAACAGTTGACTTTTGACTTGGGCTTTTGCAGATAATGGTGTCGTGTCGTCACTAAATGCCCTCATCCAGGAGTGTTATTTGGGGAAAGCAAAGTTACCAATGTTAATAACTGGTTTGATGGATCGATAAACAATGTTGGTTGTATTTAAACAACTTTAAACGACTTTTTTGTCTAATCCTCATCTAATTTTATTTTTCTCTCCCTTTCAGACACTTGGGGTTCTTGAATTATGTGGACACAGAATCCAGGGTGTCAAAGTTCAACCTAAGGTATGTAAAGGGTTGCTTCCTTTACCATTATGTAAATAACCCCAACCATTAATGTAACACAAATGCTTTTACTTCCTAATAACACTTAAATTAGGTTGGGATTGAAAAAGATGAAATAGTTTCTTCTCTGGGATGTTGGCAGATTTATAACATATCCTGAAGACATTTCAAATAATTTGTTTCATTGAAGAGAAAAATTGTACTATTGCATTTTCAAGATTATCTTAATTCCACAATTTCATTTCATCGACGCGATTTTCTTCAAGACTCAAGAGAAGAAGATTATTTGAACACATTATACAAACAAACTCAATGGGGCACAATTTTCTTGGCAACGTGAATTGAAACTACCTGTTAGCCTAACACTTTTGGGTCAAGTTGGGATGCACAACTTTACCCTAAACTTAAAGGCAGAATGACGGGTTGTTCTAAAAAGCAACGAAAAGATGATCGTCGTCACTTTTGATCCACTAGAGGAGTGTGTGTGTCTGCGGGGAATCCGCCCTCTGCCTCTATTTTCTCTCTTTGTGCAGTTTGGCACATTTCTGCGCTTCAACCTCTTAAAAAACAAAAACAAAACAAACCTGTAGCATCCAGGTGCTACAACGTCAACACGCTGTAGCAGTTGCGGAACACGCTGCCAAAACGGCGCTCTTAAGGCGACACCGAACGCCAACTGGAGCTCAAACGGAAAGCTAGTCTGGTGTCGGCTTTCCCTGCTGGCTTCGCGTGAAATGTTTTACAACTTGTTCTCCCCGTCGACTTAAAGAGCCTTGCCCTCTCTCACCGCCCACACGGTCTTCACATGGCTTATTTTAATCTCTGGTTTGACATTTAAAGAGCCAGGGTGCATTTTATCCCATTTTCATTGTTAGCATTGTGCTGCACTGGAACAAATCATGTAGCTAATGTGTTGTGTCTACCGCCTCAGAAACGTCTGTGCATCTCTAGCTAGGAAGTAGGAACGACTCATCTGCCAGACAACATCAAACGTGTGTGTGAGTGACAATAAGTCAATTTTTAACAGGTTAGAAAAAACGTTCACACTCCCCACTGACAGTCCCTGTTGGTTTTTATTTTCTATATCGTGCCAGATAACCTTAAATGACTCATGTTGTCAAATTTCCTCCCGTGGAGCGTTTAAACCAAACCGACAGATTTTGGCACGCCTGCGGCAAAGAAAACGCAATGGGACTCGTTGTGTGCGTTAGTGGTTTTTTGACAAAAGCTTCTGGAAGACTTATGATTTAACCAGCACGACCCGTTTCCAATTTGCCGCATTTTGAAAGCCATCTTTGCCCGATCATTTCCATTGTCTGAACCTTGATGTGATTTTGACTTGCACCGTTTGCTTTGCTGAAACCTTTCATCCCTCCCAAGACAATTTTATCTCCTCTCTTCACCCACTGATGTTTCAGGATTTCCGACGGCAATTTAAAGACGGCGATTAGTGAGCAAACCAAACGTTTTTTCCCCGCATTTGAGACGCACGAAGAAAGAAGAGTAAACCACTTTTGAATCGAGTCATGTCCCGCCGAAGAAGCCTCAGCCCGTCACCGGGCCGCTTTTCACGCTCCTGCAGCAGTAGTGATCCCAGAGATCTGGAGAGACGGATTTTTGTTGGGAATTTGCCGACCTCCGACATGGAAAAGAAGGATTTGGAAGAGCTGTTCAGCCCTTATGGGAAGATAACCGGTCAGTAAAACACAATGCAAGCAATAAATTGAATTCATGACATCGTTTGAATAATGCAGCATCAGGCGTCGTGTTTATTCATGAAATTGTTAAGCATGTGAAATGCAGAAGGATGTCCTTTATTAAAGTGGGTAGAACTCCAAAAATGTTCTTCAAAATGATCCTAAAACTGTACAACTTTAAATTTCCCTCTTCCAGGCGTGTCCATGTTTCGTGGGTTCGGATTTGTACAATTTGAACGTGTTGAGGAAGCGGAAGCTGCAAAGGCTGCCCAAAAGGGTCGAATATATAAAAGTTATAAAATAGGTAAGCCTTATCTGCAGTGGGTGTGATTGTCTGGCTGCAGAGGATGTACAGATGTTGCACACAGCGCAACAAAATAATGAAATGAAAGGTAATGTTTTGTGTGTATGTGTGTGAATACCTTCAATGGCTGGGCATGGTGTTTTCAAGTGTTCATCGTGAAGATAAGTAGCAAACAAATTAATACGTTTTACTTTGACTTCCACATTTTTTTCTGTAATTAAAAGGTTGTAATTGAAAGCTAGAGATTGGATGAATAGTTTTTTCTTTTTAAACTCATTTTATGTTGCATCCAGTCAACAAAATGCCCATATAGAAGTTTAGCGCCATTCTTTCCCACGGTGCTGGTTTTCATTGCTTCTCCGGGATCAGTAGCACCAATTTTTTGGGGCCGACTGTGGAAGCCGATCACGTGGTTTTATTTGTAGCCTTTTATTTATCGTTGCGTTTATTCAGGAGGAGATTATACCGTGAGATGAACTTTTTATTAATTCTTACGCAACATGGGCAGCATCTTTAGTCCATTTTATACAGCGCTCCTGCAATAATGCTGAACCCCCCCCCCCCCTCTTTAAAACGGCCTCTGAAAAGACCTAGTTGAGATTTTAGATGCACGTTCTGCGTCATCTGATCGGCTTCCACGTTGAGCTCGTTGGATCAAACGTCGGCAGATAAAGATCGCAGCACCCTTAGTTGAATTACTTGATCTCCAGCTCAACATGTATAAACGGAATTTACTCATTTTTTTTTACCAACAATTTTCCTTTCTGTGAACATGTTACATTATCAGCAAAGAAAGCAAAAAAATAAAGTTTATTATTAAATTTTGGCAAAGCCTGAACTCTGAAATCTTTTTACTGTCATTTTTCTACAACGCGTCGCTCCGGTCCAGCGCTTTTCTTCTCAAAGCAAAATTTTCAAGTTCAAAATCCAATTTTCGTTTCGTTTGTGCATAAAACAAGTCATTTTGTTTCTCGCTCACCCTGAACTCAATTCGACCGATTCGGAAACTCGATTTGCCGCATTTTGGACTCTCGTCCAGCTCGGATTTCTGAATTTCATTTTTGGATGGTGGAAGTGTTGCCGCAGTCGATCCGCTCTGCGTGAAAAGAAACTGCTTAATTGTCACTGTTATGTTCAACGTTTGGATTGATTTATTTTCAGATGTAAATATGGCAGTGGAGCGACGGCAAGCTAAACCTCAATCCCAGCAGAGCCCTCCACGAAGGTAAAGTAACGCAAAATTGGTGTGCAGACCTACGATCACCTCCAAGGTGCCGGTAAACAAAAGCGAATCACGTTTTCCCCCGACTGTCATTTCCACCAGCGGTATGCGCTGAGTGGAAGAAAGGCTCGTGACTGCTCCTGGGACAATCATTTGCAGATATGTTGAAATAAAGAGAATAGTCATATTGTTGTAATTCAACGTGTCTTTGTCTCACGTGCTCGTGTTCTTTAGTCTGGTTTTGCACCACATTGCACCTTTTTGTGGAGGAAAACGGGTGTACGGGGCCGGTAATTTACACCCATAAGATCAGACCAGAGCAAACGATGAGTAGGTTTCTAATTATCAAAGCAAATGTTTGTGATGTGCACAACGCACGGAAAGGAAAATGTGGGATTTTTTTGTTGCATTTTTCTTTCAACTTTAAACCTACTTCAGTAGGGAATGTTTTAATTATCCTATAAATGGGACAAACTGCTGTCCAACCCTAAAAGAAACAACGCAAACTTCCACCATTTCTACACCTGAAGGGTTCAAATGGCATCTAACAAATGCCTCTCGGGAATCACTTGTCGTTCTTTAGGATCTCCAGTTGAAAAGCTTTCCTTTTCTGGTCTGCTGGAAATAAAATACGAAAGACCTCAACTCTTCTATTGGAGCTATTTTTTTTCAACATTTCAAGAACATGTGCATTTAAATAACCAGAGATTTGCATCATGTGTCTCACTGAGGAAACGCAACTCATCCCCTCCAAGTGCCGGATGCGCAAAATACACCGCCTGGGATATGGTACTTGTGTGTATAAGAGCTGGATTCATGGTCGGGACCCTCAAACGGCCGACAAATCGACACGGTTGCGACCGCGGATCGCGGGACATTTTCAAAACCTCGTTGCCGACTCGTCTCTCGGGAACCGCCTCCCTTCACCTGAGCGAGTAAATGCGCTCCATCTTTCTCCACGTCCACTGAACGCGATCTTCAAAAATGTCCGCGAGCGTAGGCCTGTCCCGGAGCCCGTTTGGACCCCTTTTTTGTGGTTTATGCACAGCCCGAACTCTCATTGTGTCCCTTTTGCTAACAGCCCATCGTCTCCCCTCAGGGCCGCGTACGGCAGCTACGGGGACGGCAAGGAGCCCCGGCCCCGCTCCCGCTCGCCCGCGTATCCCCGCGAGTCTCGGGAGAGCCGCGACGGCCGCGACTCTCGGGAGAGCCGCGACGGGAGGGACTCCGCTCGAGAGCCGAGGCCGAGGGGGCACTCTCGGGACCACGACTACCGGTACCGGAGCTCGGAGGCCAGGGACAAAGACCCCCGGGATGCGGCGTACAGGTGAGTGCTCGAGGAGTCGGACGCTCGGCGTTGAGTTGAGTGTTTTTTTTGTTGTTGTTGTTGTGTGAACTCGACATGTCTCCATGCAGCAAAGAAGACTACGACCGCTTCATGCGCAGTAGCAGTACTGCGGAGGACTACTACCGGAGGAAGGATGAAGCCTACAGGGACCCGTATAGGGACCCGTACAGAGACCCGTGGAACGGGCGCCGTGAGTCAGAGGGTGTGTGCGCGCCTGCGGCGGTTCTCCAGTAGACTGAAGGGGAGGGGCGCTGCGTGTCACAAGGCCTTTAGATTGGGGAATGTAGTTCTTCTCAGGTGGGTTGGATTTTCCTGAACCTTTTTTCCTCCTCCCCCGGTGCAGCCGCCGCGGGCCTGGCTTCAGGAGTAGACGATCGCGCTCGACCGGAAGAGCGCCGCCGCAACGAGCTGTACCGCCAGTACTACGAGGAGCTGCAGCGGCGCTACGACAGCGACCGGCCCGTCGACTGCTCGGTGATCGTCGTCAACAAGGCGCAGAAGTATGTCCGCTTTCCGCCTCCGCCTGGGGAACCAATCGGAGCCCAGGCGTCATCGCCACGGTCCCGCCTGTACATCGCGTGTCTTTATTTCATATCGCTGGTGTGTGTCTGTGTGTGTGTGTCTGCCTTTTGTGTACTTCTGCTTCACAAACAACTGTAGGGAGTATGCCGAGACGGTCGGACGGAAGGTTCGTGATTTGGGCATGGTGGTGGATCTGATCTTCCTCAACACGGAGGTGTCGCTCACTCAGGCGCTGGAGGACGTGGGCCGAGCCCGCACCCCCTTCGCCATCATCATTACCCAGCAGCACCAGGTCCACCGGTCCTGCACGGTCAACATCTTGTTCGGCACGCCGCAAGGTACTTGTTGTTGTTGTTTTGGTCGGCGGGGGGGATTTTTCTTCCCTCCAGAAGCAAAGAGCAGCGGTGTTTGAGAGGAGTGCCTTTGTGTTGTTTTTTGCGCGTAGAGCATCGCAACATGCCGATGCAGGACGCCATGATGCTGGTTGCCCACAACTATGACACCTACAAGGTGGAAAACCGGGAGAAGGAACGCGAGGAGATCGCCCGAAAGGCGGCCAAGATGGCGGACGACGTGCTGCTCAGGGAGCCCGACCGGGAGAGCCACCCCGTATCTGTGCTCACCTCCATCACACTGCTGTCTGAAAACAGGTATCCGCTCCACAGTCCGCTTTCACGTGACATTTGAGTCACCTTCATTACATGTCGTACTCCATACTTGGAGTTTGTGAGCACGGGGTAAAAGTCTCCGCACTTCTTATAGCGTTTGCTTTTGCTTTTGTTTTCTCCTTTGTGGTTGCTGAGTAGATTTGTAACCCCAGACGAAATGGATGGTCTCATTGCCTACCTGAAGGACAAAAGGGCTCGACTGCTCCGAAGCGCCGCAGAGCCGCTCACGGGTGAGGGGGAAATGTTTTAAAATCAAATTTTAAAGGACTGTTTCTTGTCTTTTGGTCTGTTTATATAATCACATTGCATTGAAGGAGCAATTTAGTGTAATCATTCATCCTCACGCTGGTCCTGTAGAGCGTTTACGGTTTAAAGCAAAAAACAATCAAAAGTTCGGCGGTAATGGATATAATAGCGGGTGTAGTAAAATTCTTTGACACCATCTGACAACTGTTGCAAAAGATTTTCAACTTGAGAACCCACATAATCTTTTTTTACTGGTGAATCCTCAATAATTCAAAGAAAGTATTTTTATTGACACAATTATGTGGTTTTCTTTTCATTCCTGCCACTATGGAGATAAAAGTGTTGAGTCGAGTCTACTCAACCATAAATGTTCATTCTTAGTTAGTTATTCCTCCACCTTTCTCCTCCCAGCCGGAGTCCACGGTGCAGCTCCCGCGGCGATGCACCTGGACGTGGCGCCCTCGGCCGCGGGACTTCCTCCGGCGTCCCACTCTGCTCTCGCCCCGCCGCAGTCCAGCCACCTCGGCCTGTCGGCCGCTCCGAGCGCCGCCGCCAACCCGAGCCACCAGCAGGAGCTGCAGGCCAAGATCCTCAGCCTGTTCAACAGCGGCAGCGGAGTGGCGGCGGGCGCCGGGGGCCCGCCGTCCGTCTCGCAGCCACAGGCTTACGGCTCCCTCGGCCCCGCCCCGCCCCAGACCCAGGTCCCGCCCCGCCCGGCCATGATGGTCCCCTCCGCCGGGGGCTCCCAGGGCTACGGCGCCCCGGCCGCACGCATGCAGGTCGCCCCCCCGGGCGGCCAGCGGCTGCCCGTGGCCGCGTCAGGCATCAATTTTGACAACCCGAGTGTGCAGAAAGCGCTGGACACTCTCATTCAGAGCGGGCCGTCTCTCAACCACCTGGTGAGCCCCGCCGCAGCCGCCGCCGCTCAGCAGCCCCCCGCCGGCATGGGCCAGGCCCCGCCCATGTCCATGTACCCCCGGCATTACTGACGTGGTAGCGAATAACCTCCCCTAATGTGAGTTCCCCCCCCACCGCGACACAAGTAGACTCCACAGCGAGTGTCTGTGCAGTGAATTCTCCAGCTGTGTAAAATAAGTAGGTTGGATGTTTTGTAAGAGCTTTTAATCTTTTTTTTTTATTTTACAAGTAGTGTTCAGTTGATTGACTGGTTACATTGTGTTTAATTTGTCCGCACTAGACAACGGTCTATATGTTCGAATGATTCCTTAATTCTTAGACGTGAGGTAAACTGAGAAAACGTTGCATGTGTAAAGTATGTTTTTGTTTTTGATGGACTCCTTTGTTCTGTTCCACCAATGATTGTGTTTTAGTCTCGCACAGTGTCTTTTTATAATTTGTAATATTTCCATTGTCAAAACAAGACGTGATTAAAAACTCCAGACACATTTGCTGTAATAAAATGGTATTGGTTTATTGCATTTTGTGCTGACAAATCTATAAAATGGAACGGGTATCGCCAGAAGCCATAGATATAAGCATTTGTAATGTAAGATAAAACTACTTCTTTTTTTCCAAATGTATCATGAAACACAATAGAGAATAATACTTTAGTCTTTTTTTTAAATTGTATAATATTTAACTTACACTGACACAAAAAAAACACCTCCACACTAACTGTATTTGATTTATTTACATGTTGCCCCCTCCCACCCCTGCCCCCAGCAGTTACAAGTGCACATGTATACACACACACTCCCACAAAACTTAAAGGAACACACCACGGCTTTACCAAAAGACTAGGTACAGTATCAAGGAAGAGTAATGAACATTTTGGAATGAAAAAAAGCATTTTCATATTAAGTTTGATACAGGTGTGTCTTTGTGTGTATATATATATATATATATATATATCTTCTATATCTACATCCATTACATTGTCAGGCATCCATACAAAAATGTTTCCCATAACTCCAGTGAATTAAAATCATACTTGGACAGTGCTGCAAGCACTCAAATAAAAATGTAATTTCTTTAAAGCATACGTTCATTCTCCAGAGTTCAACGAGATCGATAAAGTTAAATATGAACCTGCCGCTGGCTAAGTTAGCTTAGCACAAAGACTGGAAATGAATGCAAACAGCTAGCCTGGTTTTGCCCAAAGAAAATATAATCTGCTACCAGCACATTTTAAGCTCAATAATTAACACTTAAGTCAACCATAAATCGCTTTGAACGATTTTAATCAAATTAGGAACAAACGCCTACTTGAACTCATTAGAATTCGGGGGACAAAGGTGATAGTGACTAACTCAAGAATTTGTATTGTGATAATGACAATTTCACACAAATGTCTAATAAGAATAAATTAAGTCATGTGACGTTTTGGACAGATGTTAACATCAACAATTCTAGTAGCACTTTGTTTTTTATACAAATAAACCAGGTAGAAGTGTTAATTACTGAGCCAATAAGTGCATTCCCCAAAATCGTAACTAATAAACTTCAAAATGCATTAAATATAACCAGTTATTAATAAAAAAGAAAATAGGTAATGGCTCCCTTTTAACATAACCGACACCAAATTGTGTATTTCTGCAGGAATCTCCTTGACTGCTTTGGCACTTTCACAGTCTTACTCAATCTGTTAACTAGAAATGGAAAGAAAATATATATATTTATTAATTCACCGGAGCACACGTTTGCACGCCATCATGAATGTAGTTAACTGAAATAAATACTTTGGTAATCAGTTTATCTGCAGGTAATATTTGACACAACGAGAAGACATGGTCAACAAATCTACCATAAAAAATAGAATCTTATACTATAATAATAATAATATTCATCTTGAATACAATGATTGGCCAGTCCTAAGGAAAGAGAAGAAAAAAAAATCATACAACTAAGAAAGAAAAAATGTCCTAACTGATTGAAACAAAAATACTTTTATACCACAAACACCCAATATATTTTCAATACACCTTGTTCATGCATGCACTGAGTTACACAACGTGTCTGGGACCTGGCTCTGCTTGCACCACCCGACGGCCACCCGAGTTCTTCTCTTAGACTCCCAGAGAGGTCGACTGTCTGAAATGGAAGTGCAGCTCTTTCGCCGACATCAGGAGGGGACGATATATATATATATATATATATATATATGTGTGTACTGAAGGGTGCGGTCTTATCTCAGCTGCAGACTGTGTGTTTGCGTCCTCTCGGCCCATGACGTGCGCCTCTGTTGGTATCTTGACAGCCTCCTCAACCCGGTAACAGATGTGTTTCAGAGCCCTTGATATCCATTTAAGGATGGAGACTGGGTAATGATCACCGGCAAGTTTGTCTCATGCTACAGTTGTGCAGGCGAAGGATCTGATTTTAGTCGTGGATCAGTTGGAGGGAGACGGGGGGAGTGGGCGCGGGGGGGGCGTGCTGGTTTCTCAGTCGACTGTCTTGTGTCATGCAAGCAGAGCCAGTGGCAGAATTGGAAGCGCGAGTTTTATATTCTTTGATCATTTTCTTTTTTTTTTTTTCTTCTTCAGAATTATACTGCAATCACATTTAAAATACAGAGCTGGGGTGGATTTATCGGCTGGGATGGGGGAGGCCAGGGGTGGGGCAGATGGGGTGAGGGAGGGGGGTGGAGGAGGGATTCTGGGAAGGCTCACCTCACAGATTGAGTGACAAGCACTATAAATTCAACGGTTAATATTCTTCTTTTCTTTTTTTTTTTTGGCAAGAGAAAGGAAAGAATGTGATGCATGCTAAAATGCCCAAGCAAATGCTTTCGGACGCTAAAATGTAAACATGATCAGCAGGAAGTTTTCTGCAAAACCGCTGCAAGATGATGGGAGTTAATCCTATTTTATGTTTTTTTTTTTTTTAAAGTCTGAGCTGTCAGACCGCCAACAGGTGACTGTAACACACTCGTGTGCCACCAGGGGTCACTGCGGGATGGGTGGAGAACACTCCCCCCCTCCCTCCCTCCCTCCCTCCCCCTCCCATCCTCGGTGTAAAGTGCTTTGCTGTCTCAGCCACATTTGGGATGAACACTGCAGACCTTTATTGTCTGTAAGATCCGGTGACAGACATTCGGATGAAACAAGTGACACCTCCAGTTGTCGAAAGAAAATAAATAACTGTGACAAGAATGAGAAAATGATCCATGTGAGAACGATATTGCACATAATCTTACAAAACTCTTAGACTTCGTCCACAGTGATAGAACAGTGTACAACAAAAGACAACACTAGTCGGTTACAGTGTCTCTGACTTAAGTGATATATATTTACAAAAGTTGAAATGGCCAGTTCTGAGGCCCATCCATTCGCAAACTCAAAAAACTATTAAGACTATTTGAGCAAGATTGAAATATAACAAGTAACAATATAGTGAACTCATACTTTATTTTTTAACTTTTTTGTAAAAGACGTGTTTTCCAGGTCTAGCCGTGTCGCAAACGCTCCAGAGTGCTTAAGGTCTGTTGAACATTTGACGACCTTTTACCCCCCTCTGGCCCTTAAACATCTAAGTCATCACTATAGAAACCACTAAAACAAATATTGCCACGTAGTACCATGCAAACAGCAATCATAAAACATTTAGAATTCCATAAATAAATCAATTTCCAATAAATTTCTCCAATAAACATCAGAAATCTTTTCTTTTGAATCCATTTAAACGGCTCAGCTGATGCAGGCAACGTTGCGCAGACCATCCCAAAAATAGCCGCGCCTCCAAAAACGTATGTGAGCGTTAAACGACCCCCTCGCCAGACGTGTGGCGAGCTTACTAAAGAAAATCATGGCACCCTAGAATCTTTGCAAACTACGAGTGGCTGCTTCCAAAGGTTCACAGGTGTCAAAGGTAGGTGCGTTAAAAGTTAGTAACGTTTAGCAGATAAATATTCATAATTTCAACATTTTTGGTGATTCCTGTAAGCTTTTTTAATTAAATTAAATTAAATATCTTACAATATAATTGGTTCACTTTACTTATGGGATTAAAGATGGTAATAATAAATAGAACATTTCTTTTTTTTAAAGAGAATAAAAAGGTGGAGGGTTTACCCTCAGTTGTAATATTGCATCAAGGTATTCAGAATAGTTTTCTAATAAAACAGAAAGCTAACCCTGTTCAGAGATCTCCGGCCAAACGTTTACAGGTACCACTGATATGTATGTCTATACCCTTTTTCACTTGATCTTTAATGTTGCTTTAGTCATCCCTATTTACAGTACAAATAAATCTATTGATACTAGCAGCATTCACAACATATGGTCCGACATTCAGGCAACACTAAAAACATTTAATACGGTTTGTAAATACTTCTAGAAACTAATTTGTTTTGCTTCCCTATATTGTATATACTGTTTGTATATACTGTTTATATATACGTATTTATTTATATTTTATATTCATATTTCTAATACAAGTGCAAATGACCAAAAACGGTTTCTTCAAGAAAAGAAACTGAAATAAAGTAAAGTGACAGCTGTCCTTGGTCAAAGTGAGATGAATCTGGATTTTGTTAGACTTACGAAATCTACATATACAAAATATATGTGTAAAAAAATAAATAACATGATGATCACATGAGTCCGGATTTCAACTATTGCACATTCCTTCCAAGATGCACTTTTTTGAACCTTAATGCGATTTTGTTCACAAGTCATTCAGCCAAGGTCATGTGTGGCTCAAATCTTTGCCAATCTAGAGGATATAAAATCTCAGCGGAGAGTCTACTGCATAGAGTTCAGTCTTATGGACAACGTGGGTTTCCTCGCTACAGAAGCCATCGTCTCCTCTGCTTATTTAGACACGACCCCATAAACCATCAATCGATCGATCGATCGATCAATCGGGAGATCAGTTCAAAATCTCACCTCCCTCAAAGCTGATATGCTCCGAGCGCCACCTACCGGGGCGACTTTGGCACTACAACAACCACAGTGTCGTTTCTGTCCCGAGTGCCACGTGGACGCCTCCGTTGGTCCTTTCCACACTTTGTTCTCTCTAGTTCAAATCAATAGAATCTTTGTTCACTACTTCTCTTTGAAAAATACTTTGATATGGCACATTTAATGTAATCTAAATCAGGCAAAAAAAAAACAATAAATCTTTTAAGTGACAATCAAAATGACATACACAACTATTTCATCATTGTGTGTAAACTCTAGCCCATAAAACATAAATACATATTTGCTCTCTAGATGAAAAAATAACATTTAGTGTTTCCTCTTTTTTTTTCTTAAATAGAATGAATTCGTTAAAATGTCACTTGTTGCACAGTGGCGGACAGTGCAGGTGCAGTGTTGTCGAGGTTACAATGACAGTTACCATAGTGACAGGAGCCTATGCCATCCGATAAATAAATAAATAAATAGATACATATATTTTTAAAACAGCGTTTTCGAGCCGCCCCTCTCGGCTGTGGGGGGGTGGGGGGGCGTTTTCTCTCCACTAGAAGCTTTTTAGTATGTCACAAAAATACTACACTCATACTGAACAACGCGTCAGAGCTTGTACATTATTTACAGTGATCCACACGAGGGGTGCTGGCGATGATCATCTCCTCCTCGGGGCGTTTGTACCGTCTCCCCACTCCGCTGTTACGCCAGCCTTCTGGTAGGAAACGCACTATTCACAGTTTTAATTACGTGTCAATCTCTACAAACTAAGCTAGCCTTGTTGTATATATGTATATATATATATAAATATATATATAAATATATATATATATGCTCTTTTTTTTGGCACTAACAGTGGCCACGGGGATGAACAGCCACTAAGAAAAGGAAATCTAAAGGAGGGCGGGTAGAAAGACTCGACGGGTGGAGACGCACACAGTTATAAGGGCGGCGCGCTGAGGTGCGATCGGGTCGGAGGTGACGCTGCGGCTCTGATCCACTCGCCTAAGTCTCGATTCCCGATGTGAATCTCACAGTTCGTGCTCAGCGACTACTCTCCTCCCAGCTGCTGGGAAGCAAAGTCTCTTTCTCCCTTGAAGGATGAATCACATCGAAAAGGCAACAGGCCGCAGCGCCGTGGGAGGTGTCCGATCAGAGAACCACACACACACACACACACACTCACACACTCACACACGCACGCACACGCACACACACTCACGCACACGATCCCACACCCGAGCTCACTGCAGCTGGCAGAAACCGCTGCTAGGCCACACTCGTATTTGAAAAGAAAACAAAAAAGAAACAACAGGAACAACAACATCGATAAGAATCGGCTGAGATTCAAACAACGAGATCACCTCACCTCCAACTCCACCACCACCAACACCACCACCACCACCTCCACCTTACCGAGCGACTCCGAACCCGAGGCCAGTTACCGCAGCAGATGAAAGACGAGCGATGGGACAAATGGATCTTTCGTGGACAAATCTACGCGGCCGGCGGTTGAAAGTAGCCTCCCCGGAGCGGAGGGCGTAGCGGCCGAGCGGGTGGACTCATGCTCATCGGTCTGCTGGGGATGGAGCTGACGGAGCGGTGCTGAAGCTGAGCGATAGGTTGGAGACGCGAGAGGGACAGAACGCTGCGAGCGACGTAAAACAAGCAGTGTGGACGATTGAGTGTGGGGGCGGGTAAAGGTGGCTGAGGGTGGTGGTGGTGGCGGTGTGGGAGGGTGCTGTTGGCGGGGGAGGAGGGGATTGAGGTGGGGGTGTCGGGGGGTGGGGGGGGTGGTGGGGTTTTGGGGGGGAGCTGCTCTCTCAGGAGTAGATAGTGATGACCTCGCGGCCGCCTCCGCGGACCAGGAGGACGCGGTTGAGACCGTCCGTGAGGACCTCGAGGAACTCCATGTCTTGGAGAGAAGCGTTAAAGAAGCAAGAAGAAGCTCGACGAACAGCAACACGGACACAAACAGCAGGAACTGTTTCCGAAACACAAAATAAGTAGGAATGTCAACAGGAAAACCACTTCTTCCTAAAGCGCCCATTTGTTAGCCGGCAGCAGCAGCTGAAGCTTCGTATCGATCAAACGGAAGCGTATCGTATTGATCTTCTCATCAGGCTCTTGTGAAAGAATGCAAAATACAGCTCGAGGACGTTCTGTTTGCATTCATCTGGAGAAGATAAATGAATATTGGTTTGACCGGCGGGAAATCGCAACGTTACTAGATAAACAAATAAACATGGAGGTGAAATAAGACATCTACATAGACGGTCCTGACAATATTTTATAATTACTTTTATAGATAGAAAAATAACATGCGGTGGAGTAATTAAAAAGAATCAAACTAAAACTGTACCTGCAAATGTTACTCAAAAGGTTCATCTGCTGCTTGCAATGGAACTGCTGATAAATCCTAATTAGTTCTTAGTGCCTCCTTATTATCTGCTCACAAATCACATTAACTTACCGTTTATTCCTCAAAATACAAAGTATAATTATAATACCGGAGCAGGGAAGTGCCTTCAGGCTCAAACTGATTTTAATATCCGCAGAGATCTTCCTCACTCCGCCCGAATGTCAATTTACTAATGAACCCGTTTATTTCGTTCACGCAGTTACCCAACGACACACGCCGGGTACCAGCGGCGCCGCGGGGTCAAAGCTCACTGCTTAAGGGCTCCTCTCAGTAAACACACTTCTGTCCCGCTGAAGGATACAGTTCTCATCACCTGTCCGGTTCTTCGGGGGCCCGGGCATGTTGAGGAGGACCAGCTTGGCCTCCGAGGACTTTTTGATGATGACTTCATTCAGCCGGAGAGCTGTGTGCATACGTCGCACATTGGACTGGTTCCTGAGGGAGGACCAGGCAGCAGGGAAATGAGGTCATGCTGTCACGTGGGATGTGCGATAAAGGACACTGCAGAGCGAGTCACGGAGCGAGTATTCAATCTACGTCTGGGTAAATGGGCCGAATGAGGTTCGTAAGAACTTAACTACTTACAGGTTCTCCCACTCGCTGCAGCATGGCAAGAAGAGAAACACACAATTATCACTTCGAAGCTGTGAATATTCCAAAAATAACCAAAATACAACAACTGTAACGGCACCCGGGGCGGACCTCTTTGGTGTCATATCGCACAGAAACAAAAACACTGACAGGTTCTTTCCTGTCGGGAACGAGGAGACGAGTCACCTTTCCGCCGGGTTCAACGAGCATTTCGGAGCACTCACGGCTTCATGTTGAAGAGGTCCTTGATGCCCTCCGGTGTGGCAGCGCCCGGCGGCTTGGCCGGTTCGCCGTCGCACTTCTCCGTCCAGGTCATCTGGACCTGCGCCCCGGGGCTCTGGACGCCCTCGGCGGGGGTCAGCGGGGTGGCCGGGGTGGCCGGGCTGGCCGGGGTGGTGTTGTCGTGGATGAGCTGGACCTGGTCAGGGGGGCAAACAGGGGGAGAGGCCGACTTTGACTATGGGACGAGAGGAGGAGAGGACGGACGTGGATTGAGAGAGTGTGAGGAGGGAATGTGGGAGACGGCGGTAAAAGTCACAGAGAGCCACAGTGTTTGACGGACGGAGGGGAGGAGAAGCGAGATTAAAAAGCCTTCCATTGCTCAGTTTATTTTGTAGTGACGTGAGGACCTGCTGCTGCAGCCTCTTCAGTCCGTCCCCCAAGATGTCCCCCCAAGATGTCTACTATTCCCACTGCACCAAACTTCTATTCATGGTTTTCTTTACTTCTTCTTCGATCTTATCCACTTATGTCATTTATCTCGTCTGCGACTTTGTTCCTGTCTGGTTACAAGCCCAACCCTCCAAACTTCTACCTCTTCCTCGGGCTTCTCGTCCTTGCTGGCTGCCGGCGGTTCCTCGGTCACGCTCAGCTGCGTGGTCACAGCGGCCGGGTTCTTGCGACGGATCGACCCGCGGGACGAATCGGTGATGCTCTGGATCTGGAAACACACAGACGAGGGTCGAGGTTTCCTGATGTTCAAGATGCAGCAAACCAAGATCAAAAGCCAAATGATTGTCGTGGAGAATCGGGCAACGTCCAGCACAGAAGGACTTGGAGGAGCTAATCATAGCACAACGCTGAGATCAATATCTTTTACTTTTCACATCCGTCAAAACGGCGACAAGCTGCGAGTCACGAAAGCAAAGCAGTGGCCGCGCTGGTCGACGCTGACAGAGGAGGGGAAATACGGTGTCCCACTGCTCCGATTTAACCGTGTGCTTCTGCCCGCAGGGGCTAATGTGTCACGGCGAGTCAAATCACGGCCCGTCGAGTCTCGTCAGGGTCACGTGTGCATCTCTGATTGGGCGTCGCCCTCACCTCTCTTTCACGCTCAGTCCTGGTCATCTTGATCTGTTTGAGCATCTGCGACCGCTGCTCCATCACCAGGGTCTTCTCGTAGGTGTAGGCTGAGATGTCACTGTCATGCTGAGAAAAAAACAGAAATCAACGGTTAATTTACTTTCAACATTCCACTTTTTGTATCTGTCCCTGAATCCTGAGTGAGATGTGCTCTAAAACACAAGCGTCAACTCGCAGCTGAAGACTGAAACAGCCTGTATATTATTATAACGTTAAAAATAATATTAAAGTTGCACAACTGCGGCTTCACGCTTGCGGCCGCTCACAACACTCGGCGTGTTCACCGGAGCGACTGGCGAAGCCCGAGGCATCGGTGCATGGCTGCAACCAGCTGAGCTCGTCGTGACTCTTAAGAACACTCACCATTTCTACAACTTCCACCATGGCGTCGATACGGAGGTGATAGAGGAATGTGGTCAGGTCCTTCTTCATCTGGATGCTGTTGTCGTCCAACTGGGCCACGGTGAAGATGCGCATCTTGCACTTCCTCCAAACCTGAACAGCATAAACAAGTCAGCTCACGGTCTTCACTTTGTCCGTAAGGATTGAGACCCGGCGTTTTAGTGGTTTACTTGATGCATTTACTCGTTACGGTGCAGTGTCGACTGACGGCACGCTACCTTGTGCTGGCGGAGGAGGAAGGGCAGCAGCATCAGCATGCCTCCGTCGTGGACGATCCACCACACGTCGATGTGGCCCTCGGTGAAGCGCTCTCCGTTGGACGGGAAGGCGGCGACGTTCTTCGGGACGAGCAGAGCCAAGTCAGCGGCGGTGGTCTCTCTGACCAACTCTGCGGAAACGAACACATTCAGAGGGGAAAAAGGCGTTGTTGTTATTTGCTTGTAATGACTAATGAGGAGTTTGGGATTTTGTTCCGCGTGGCATTGCTGATGCAGCTAATTGGCTGTGCTTCGACCTCAACGGGAAGCTCGTTTATTTTTTTCTTCTGCTTCCCCAATGACGCACCGACAAAGTTCCTCCAGGTCTGGTGCTCGTCTCCCTGCCTCCAGTTGCGTGGCCAGGACACCAGCACGGCGTTGTGTTTCAGGCCTCCCAGCCCACTGGCCTGGATGAGGTGGGACGTGGCGTCGCGCAGGTTGGAGGACACGGTCACCTGACAGAAGCCCTTCACCTTCTCAGTCTCCATCAGTTTACGCAGCGCCTAGAAAGTCAAGTGGGAGAATAGAGGTTTGCCAGGTTCAGAGGACGGTGTGAAGACTCGCGGGGTTCTTTGGCCCGACCAACCAACAAAACATGCGAGTGGCAACACGAGTAGCTCAGGACGACGACTGGAGAAGCCTGTCCCCTGCCCCGGGGGGCCTCGGCCCTCTCTCCCTCTCTCTGTGAGTACGCCATCAGCTGGTTGGGGGGCGGGCTCGTTACTAGCCAACCAGACGTGGGGCCCCGTCCCCGTAAACCAATCGCATCGGTGCTGTCCAACGCTAAAAGCTGGTCTCCTCTCTGTTGCTAGTTAGGATTTCAGCAAGCACCAGAGGCAGCCTCCCCCCCCACACCCGACACCTCCAATCAGCAGGAGAACCCGGTACAGCAGAGGATTGGATCAACTTATTCGCCACCACCACCTGTCTCTGGAAATGCCTCCTCTCATCTCGGCGTCCCGGCCCCCTGGCCTATCCTGCGGCGTCCAAGCCCCAACAACTCTGCACTTTAAATATTAATCCCCGTTTAAATAAATCATTGTTAGGAATTTCAGAAGCGTCTCCTGATTGAAACGCATTTTCTTGCAAACAGAACAGATTTTGAAAGACTTGCTGCTGAATGTTAGGGCTCCCCACCTGCTCTGCACGCTGAGACTGTTCGTAGTTCTCCAGGAATGTTCCCACCAGAGCCGTTCCCACGATGGTCAGACCTTTGCCCGCCTTCAGCTGGTTGGTCAGGGAGAGCAGACGAGGCTGTTCCACGTTCTGCTCTGCGTCTGTACTAACCAGCGTCAGCAGCTGGGGCCTGAAGAGAGGGAGGAGAGAACGTGAGAACACCAGGCAGAACGCGCAGAACAAGGAGGGCAGCGAAGAAGAAGAAGAAGAAGAAGAAGAGATGCAAGGGAAGAAATGAAAGGGTGGTACGAGTCCTGATTGGGAAGGAGAGACAGAGACAAACGGCGTGAAAGGTCCCCGCCTTGATTTGAGTTCAGTTTGACGGCCTTGCTGACGAGCATCACATAACAGAGAGACGCCATTTCTATGTCGAATGAAACATCACAATGTGGGACTTTGTGTTTGCGCGTTGTACCTCCAGTTCTTGGTGTGCGGCGGGCCTTCTTCCAGCCGCATGAGAGCGTAGCGGGCGGCGCTCAGAGACAGGCCTCGTATCCCGTCTCCCCACTCCTTCTCCGCACTGTGACACAGACGAGCGGCGATCAATGCTCCCCAATCACAACGCGAACAAAAAAAAGTTCAGCGGCTCCGCTTTGTATATGAAAAGCAGTCGACTTCCGGATGACGGTCTGACATAATGCAGTGTGATTAGGGATTAGGCGTCACTGTTAAATGTCAAGTCGACATGATGTCGTCACCACAGGGAATTACGGCGCTTAAATACTCAGTGTGCATCGCCTGGTACTACTCCATCATAAGCACGGGTGGATTACTGAGAGAGCAGAGGCCACTATTTTAAGACAGAATCCGCTCAGCCTTTCATTTGACGGTTTGTCTGTTCCCGTCATCGCAGACGAAACAGCTACGGTATCGTCTTCTTATTCTTTACCTGCAAAACATTCCTGGATGATGCTCAGCTTCATCGTCTGTAGTGACTACACGTGTCTTTGAGTCTGGGGTTTTTGCTCTTATTACACTATGATAGTAATAGCAATAAGCAGCTCAAAGCCCAAACCAAACAGAAGTACTCAAACCCCAAACACCAATTTCCCTTTAAACCCCCCAACCCCCAAAAAAAGATTGATGGTGTAGATTTAGAGGCAGAAAGGCTTAAAATAAAGCACACACACACACACACACAGATACACACCTAATCACATTACCTCACACTTACACACTCACACTCACACATACACACACACACACACACACACACACACACACACACCAGCTAAACCCAAAGGCAGCCAGCAAATCCAATCCCTCCTGGGGTTGCGCTCCACTCACCCTGCGAACTCGATATACTTGTAGATAGAGCCGGCAATTACCATGGCGACGATGGCGTAATACCAGGAGCAGAGGAACATGAGGGTGAGACACAAGCTCATCCCCAGGAAGGACAGAGCCCTGTGGAGAGGCACAGACAGTGAGACGGAGGCCCAGAGACACGCATTTCAAGTTTGTCTCAGCAGCTGCTGAACGGACCAGTGGTAGAACTTGAAGCGGGGTCTCCAGTTTGGAGTCCTCAGTAGCGTCTGCAGAGCACAGGCCAAGTTCACAAACATGTAGCACATCAGGAAGAACCTGCAGGACACACACACACACACACACAGTTTAAAGACACAGCCCTTCTTGTGATACCCCAAGTGTCTCGTATCCGACACATTCACTGGTATTTATGTGTATCAGTAGAGCGGAAAAGCGTTCTGCCCTTTGTGTGACGAGCTAAATCCTGAGCAACATTTGGCATTTGGATCGTTTCAAACAACAGGAGCGGACTTGCTGCTATGAAATCTCCCACCGATGGTTCTTCAGAAACGGCAGTTAATGAGAGAGTTCAGTTCTCACATGGAGAGGATGGGAGCTACCAAATCCAGGGAGGCTATGAGGATGCCGATCTCGCAGATACAAGCTGTCAGCAAGAGGGACCACGTGGGTTCTCCGTTGGCCTTTGCATGGCCGAAGATCTGCAGGGGGACAACGGGTGTACATTCATTGCCTGCTCCGAGAGAATTATATCATCAATGATTGGGAAAAGTGCGGAAGAATGATGACTGAATAATAAGTAGCGGGACGGACCCGGAGGGCGGGCACGATGCCGTCCTTGGCGATGGCCTGCATGAGACGGGGAGCTCCAGTCAAACTCTGCAGCCCCGCGCCGCAGGTGGAGAAGAAGGAGCCAATCACGATCACCCATGGGGACGGCCAAGCCAACGTGCCGATCACCAAATTCCCGTGGACTCCCTCTCCGAACCTTGAGGAATCGAGGAAAGGACGTTTTTCTTTCATTGCATTATTAGCAGTGAGCATATTGTGGAAACAATGATCATTTGTCTTCAGAGTTGTTTGTCTCAGGTGACAATCGGTGGACTTACTTGTCCCTGAGGACCACACCGTCGATGCAGGCACCGAACAGAATCACGCTGGACATGTCTATGCAGTTCTGGATAAGGAAAGTATTTTGCAGACAGATGCAATGAAAGCTCTTTAGATGAGGCCGGTCAGTGATGGACGGGACTTGATCAAAGACATCATCAGCCTTTCCCTTTGAGGATGCACTTAATAATCGCCTAAACCAATAGACTGTTCGCCGAGATAAGACGCCAATCGATTTTGTTTAGGATAATATCTGAGAGATCAATGACATTGTAACTAATATCCTTCGGCTTTATTAACTTGTGATGGCATAGGCAGCCCACTGATGCAATTAGACTTCCTAATCAAATTGGTTTAGACTCCGAGCTGATTACTCCGAGATACATGGAAGACATTCAAGATGGCTCCTACAGAGTTGGGGGACAGTTTGTTGAACTGCTTCCAAATCATGTGTCACACGGCTATTTTTTATGCTTGGTAGTCTTTTAGTTTTTCTAGCAATTTTTAGATCTGCTTAATAATCTTGCAGCAATGGAAACATCAGAGTCAGAGTGATCTCCTTCAACAATACCGGGGTATTTCACAAAAACTTTCCAACATCCCTGGTCAAAACCAGGCTGGTCTTGTAGCAATGATGACCTTTTACAGCTAAAAGTGTTGACCTTTTATTATGGTGGTCCCTGCAGGCCAATCAGTGTTTTGTTTTTTTACAGCAGAGCAAAGCAAGCACAGTGCATCGTCGCTTCAAGTCCTATAAACATCGGACCAGTGTTCATCACCCAGATGTCTGGTTGGAATCCTTGCAGTGTGTTTAATCACTAACTTTCCTACAGTAACAGCGTAACGGTGTCATGTCGTTCATACAGTATATAGCTATTGTATTTATGTTGCTTACAGTTTATTCTACATTCTTATTTATTCTTATTCTACTGCTTTTTGTGCGTTGTGCAATGACAATAAAGTTAAATATGATCAACAAAGTCCAAAAAAATAATTTGTGTAACCTTAACAATCTTGCAATGTCCTTTTCTGGGACAAGTATTTGATTCATGGCATCATCTCCAATATCAAAATTGTGCTAAAAACGAAATCCGTTTGTTTTAATTGATCGGTGCAGCGACCCCGGGTAGCCACTAGGCGGCAGTAGCGAGAGGATACAGACGAAGGAGGTGGTGGTGATGGCTGCAATGGTTCCAACTGGGATGGACTTCTGGGCATCACGCAGGTCTCCAGAGCGGTTGGAGCCGGCCATGATCCCTGGACGGAAATAGATGAGGAGCAAACGTTATCCCGGTTCCAGGAGACACAAACAGGCCGGCCGGCACAAGGAGAATGTCAACAGCGCCGATCGTCACCTGTCACAGAAGGGAAGTAGATTCCAACCAGCAACGTGAAGAAGCTGGCAATGTCGGCCAACACGTAGCGGTTTGCGTTGGTCAAAGGGTCGTCCTGGTCCTCCACGGAGTCCATGTTGGTCCTGGCAATCAGATCCCCTTTCTCGTAGTAGGTCCCAAACAGGTTCTCTGCAAGGGGGAGAGCGACAAGCGGGAGACTTGAGTTGAGGGGATCCATGACTACCTGCAGTTAACAGCCATCGCTACTTTGATCTTCTATATTTGTCTTATAGAACATGGGCTTCACTCCAAGTCCAAATATATTCTCTCCCACCTAAACCTACTAGTGCTTCAAAGATTGATTTAAAAATACAGTGCCTATAAAACCATTTCTGGAAACAATACATATTACCATTAAACATACATGAATTCCCCCGTTGCCCAGCTGGTCTCTGGCTAAGTAGCATTAAAGGGTTTTTGTCGAAACATTAAAGCGTCCACATAGGGTGAATTATTTCTTTTGTTAACAGGGCTCTGATTTTTGAATGTGGATCCTTAACACCGGGCTTCACGAATAGAGAGAGACGAGGTTAAGCCAGCTGGGGGGCGCTTCTGTCAATGTAAGTGCTGCTGCAGTCAAGGTCCCTTACTTCATCATTTCCCACATATCCTAGAAAAGCTTTTGAACTGATATCTCTGTATCTTCTTTTTATACAAGACATTAAAAAAAAACTAATCTAATCCGATTTAGCAAATTGAGTGAATCTGTTATCCATCTGTGAGAGCTTTCCTTAACGATTTCATTATTCCTTATTTACTCTTAATGGCCCTTATTGTTTTCCCCATTTGACTGCAACAGAAAATCCCTCAGAAGTACAGATGACACACAGGGGCAATCTGCTTTAGGACATCCCAATAATTCACTTCAGCTAAAGCTTTTTCCCCTGTGGAGCGAATGCAACGGCACTGGTTAATTATCCGTAGCTCAGCAACACATCGGGTCAAGAGACGGAAAGACTGCGCGATGCACACGGATGTGCCCACTGAACCAAAACGATCCGAATAAACCAACCTGACAGGATTCCACTGGCGACCCCCGGGATGCCCTGTATCTGGGTCACGTTGTTGGACGTGAAGTACTTGTCGCAGGTGGCGTTGAGGAACGGTGAGTCACAGAACATGCGCCACAGCTGGGTGGTGACTGTCCCGTTAGCGGTCTCTACGGTCTTGGAACACACATCGAAGGTCTTCCAAATCAAAGTGCGGTTGCCCAGCAGACACACACTACGGGGAGGGAAAGCACAGTAATAATAATGAGATCCATATGAAATGAAAACGGCAAAAACAATAGGAATAGGAACAAATTATTGAAAATAACAATAAGGAGTGTCAATAACAATAGAAATAACAAGAAAAGCAGATATTAGAATAGGCAAAACCAATAAAGGCAATAATAATGCCACCATTGATTATATAATTGAATATACACATTATAATAATAGAAAAATATAGTTTGTTTAAAATGTCAAAGTTCTGCAAAACAAAACCAATCAACATGCAGCATCCCGTCGATGCAGCGACACGCGTTCATACATCGAGCTCATATTTCTGACGCTTAAACTTGTGTTCTTTCCGACGGGTCTCGGACGTGTCATCGCCGCTGCTGCTGCTTACGGGAAATCTGGAGCGTCGATGCCGGTCTTGATGACGCCGGCGTAGACGGCCAGGATGGAGAGAATGACGCAGGCCAGAAACACCAGCGCCAGCTTGTTGACGTACTTCACGCCGACAAACACCACCGTGGCCATGGAGGTCAACAGGATGGTCCCGTACACGCGCATGTTGTTCAGCAGGGCGGCCTCTGCCTCGGGGCCCTCCAGGCCCTCCAGGGGAAAGATGGCCACCTGGGGCGCTATGTAGATCTGAAGCAGAGGGATGATGTTGTTATTGTTTTCCCACCCCCCCTTTTATATATCCAGGGATATCACACCTGCCATTTTCTCATAAAAGTTCCATACAATCTCTTTGTTGCTGAAGGGCATCGTGCTGGTAGCTGTTGAGGGAGTGTTACTCATCCACTTTCCCTCCTCACTTTTCTACCAGCCTGTCTGGGGATTTAAACTCGCAGATATCAGGTCAAAAAGACGGCTCCTCTGGTTCACTGTTTACTGCTGGATTTAATACATTTCACCACGGGTAAAAAAAAAAAAAAATTGAGACATATTAAAAGAGGTGAGAAAAGCGGGAGGTGAGTGAGGACGACGACTCTGTGAAGTGTGAAAACATGTGATGTTCACATTTACAGTCCTCACCTGGAGCTTCGAGCATTAAAACGGCTCTGCCATTTTAATTTGGCTTAATTAAAGAAGTCAAGCGTGGTATTAATATTCTAAATTAACTGCCTTTATTATACTTTTACTACGGGTCAATCTGAGAATAGCACCATCGTGTATAAAAAGGGTAAACCCTTATTAGCCCGTCAGTATCTGCCATCAGCTTTAGATGATTCATGTGAAGACGTTACATAACTGTGGGAATGACTCTTTTTTTTTTTTTTTTTTTCAAGTTGTCTTTTGGTTTCAGTCGAATCACCGTAATGAGGAAATCAAATGGAGCAGAACAAGCAGGGAGTCGTGGTTCATGTCGGCCGTTTGGCTGAAGAATCCGGTGCTGAGAAACAGCATTATCACCGGGCAAACAAACCTCCTGCTTCGGCTGTGAACCGTTCATGCTTCCGAAAATAGCAGCAGCATCAGTTTGCGTGTCTTGGCTTGGGTGGAAGGATGAAACGTATTCAAATCAGCCCTCTCCAGATCCGCTCCTTACAATTCTGCAGGGATTGTTATTTTACAATAGAAACTAAGCCAGCTTTGACCCAGAAGACAAAATTAACCTCCGGGCATGATCAAACTCTGCGTACCCATTAGAGGCAAACAGAAGGAGGATAATGGCGGAATTCTAAAATAAAAAAAACACACTCCGGTCGGCTGATAACAGAGGACCAAAGTGATGAGAGCTGTTTCAAGGAATCCTCTTGTTACTCCGCCAGTGTCTTGATCGCTCGCTGATGCAGTATTTGCATCATCACCCAACAGAGGGGGACTGCAGTAGAAGGAGTGAAGGCAGAGGAGGAGGAGGAGGAGGAGGAGGAGAGTAACGAAGATAGAGATGAAAGATTCCCGCATCTCGACTGATCACAATTCACGTCGAAGAAGAACACAGGTTGATGGAAAAAATAGCTTCAAAGCGCTTTGAGGGAGGAAAATGAAGTGGAGGAGCGCTCTGTTTTCTCAAAGGCATGCGGCACACAGTGAGGATCTGATAGGTGCCATTTTATTGAGAGCACAAGTTTTTTTCCCCCCCATGTCTGCCTACTTTTTTATTATCTAGCTGGTATTAAAACTATGCCTGGATTACGTTCTACTCGTTTTCAGTTTCATAAAAAAAAACTTTTAAATACACAGCACATTTTCCAAGTTTCACACCCCGTTTTTGTCTCAGTTGTCTTTTGTTGTACAAATACTTTTTAATATCGTGATACTTTTGTTTAAAAAGTCAAAGGGAGCGCGCCCACATTCTCCGCAGACACCAGTAATTGGTTTTTGAATACCTCTTTGCTGCTGGTTGTCTTTGGCTCCTCGCCTCACATAATTGAACCATTTCCAATATTGGCACCCGTCTTTGGCCGGAGCAACATGAAACCAAATCTTTCGCGTATTACCAACATAATTAAATCTAAGGGTTCACATTCAATCGCGGCAATTCTGAGCTCGAGGCTGAATGACTCCGCTTCCTCTCGAGGACGGCTTGCTGTCACTATGACAAAACTGTCAAAGTCTGAGGGAAGAGCTGCGATTTGAGGGGGAGGGTGGAGGGGGTCACCCTCCATTAACCTGACAAGAGGATCCCATTTTTTTGGGGCCTTTGACTGACTGCGCTACGGCAACACCGGGAAGGAACTGGCTAGAAATGGACGCCGCTTCAAGTAGGTTCCACAAAGGAGGGTCTCCTCTACTCACGTCAACATGAACCCACTCGCCGCTCCCTCAGCGGCCCGAGAGGAACGTGGGGGCTGTTCTTGAAATGTTAAAAAAAAAATCATCAACCAGAAGAATAAATCAGAAGTTTCCGATGCCGTCCGTTATGTTTCCACTTTAACTATTTTCTGTCTTAGATTCTCCTTTTTCCTTTTACTCAGGGGGTTTTCTTCTCTCTTTGTATGCATACTTGATGAGCGCTGCTGAACAGGGCCAGAGATCCAAGATTCTCATTGCAACTGTTGTGCATTGGATAAAAAGAGCATGAAACGCGAAACCACCTTTAATCTACGCTGCCTCATGGATGAAAAAAAGACCCCCGTCCAACCGACATCTCAACTGAAACAAAGAAAACCACCGAGGCCCCCAGGATGTAACGTGGGCTGACGTTGCAACCCCACCAAAAAAAGAGGAAACCCTAAAAACTGTGAATGATAAAGCCGGCTGACTGTAACCGAACGGGACGTTTCTTACCAGGAGCAGCTCGATGGCCCCCAGGATGTACATGGCCCCAGCGAAGGTAGTCCCCAGATAGAAACAGATCCCCACCGCTCCCCCAAACTCAGGGCCCAGCGAACGGGATATCATGTAGTAGGAGCCTCCGGCTGCACACACACACACACACACACACAGGGCAACGTTAACAGAAATCTTTTTCGTAACATCGTGCAAATAAATGAACAAAGCATCAGTGAATATAATTCAATCAGAACTTTGCAGCAGCACGGAGGCTGCTACCAGTTCTAAAAGAGAGAGTTATAATTGGTGCACACAAGCCTGTAATTTGCTCTGACCCCTGCTGTATGCACTCTGACTGGTAAGACGCAGGCCATCATTACAAGGTAAAATCACATTAAAGAAATGTAGTTCTACTGCATAATGTGTCTGCATGCAGATACAAACACATATCCCTTCGGTTTTATATTTCGGGCACTTGGCCGGCGTTTTATTTTGTGTTGTGTCGCGTTGTGTGGAGACACGCGAAAGTGCACGCGACCCCAGACTAAAGCTTTTAATGTTTCTCTGGATGTCAAGCTGCGCCGGGCGAGACGACGCCAAAAGCAATCAGCGAAAAAGAGAATTTTTCGACGCGGACGGACTCAAACGGCGACGACTGTGTGGCGCCGGCGTCTGCTCACCCACCTGGCACCACTCCATTGGTAGCGATGGCACTCATCGAGATGGCAGTCAGCATGTTCTGCAGAGAAAGGGAGGGGGGGGGGGGGGCGACGACAGGGGAGCAGGAAGAAGAAGATTAAATCATATTCAGCTAATTCTGCAGATTCTGAGAATATGACTTTCTCATCCTTTAATTGTACGACATGTGGAAAAACTGTTATTTAAACCCAAATGTACTCAATGGTTTTTCATCTGTAGATGTAATCAATAAATCACAACAGAGCAACAAAGCAGCAATGAAACTGAACTGACGGGGAACAGTTATTCTTCTGTACTTTTTATTGTGCTTTTAAGTGTCCTTTGAATCTATTTAATGTGCCGTCTCATCTGGACACAGAACCCCAAATGCAGTTTGATTGAATTCCTTCATTAGGTTTTGAGATGTTTCAGTCAGTGGGCAGAGATTAAAAACACTTTTTTTCAATTTGGTGTCATCCCCCATTAAGCATAAACCCCTTATGACATCCTGTAAAAACGCATATTTCAATCCCCCCCCCAGCGATGCCCGTGATGGTGTATAAATAACATCCAACACAACCTGCGAGATTACGTAAGTACACCACCCAACTCATGTCAACGCAGGAGCCGGCTGCTTGTCGATTAGATAAACATTAATGCCACCGGGCGCATCAACAACTGTCAGCCCGCATTTAGACTGTAACGACAACTCTAATGGAAGTTCTCTGAGCGGAGAGGAGAAAAACACCGGCAGAAATGTGAGGGCACGCTGGGATGGAGCTCACTGGATGCATGCGACGCAAACAGCTTTCACTGCCCTGCAGAGGGAGAGAGAGGGAGGGAGGAAGGGAGGGAGGGAGGGAGGGAGGGAGAGGAGAATGCCGGCAGCGAGTGGAAGGATGGGCTCGAAAAATAACAAATTACAGTGAGAAATAGAGTGTGTGTGTGTGACAGAAGAAAGACAGCGTTAAGATTTCCCCTTTTTTTTCCCCCAGACGCTATTGTTGAATTCCTGAGTGTCTTTTTACATTTTCTACACTTGAAAGACAGCGACGAGGACACAAAGAGAAGCACGAGGAGACGTGAGGGCAGGCTGCTTAAATCGGTGCCATCTCCTCCTCACCGCTCCTCTTTGTCACTGCGATCATTTCCATTTTCACTCTGCCATTCGCGTTCGTTGTTTAAGTTGGAGTTTCAATGTTTCAAAATGTGCCTTTTTAAAAGTCCAAATCTTCACACAGATGTTTTCAGCGTACAGCTCCAACACAGTTTATGAAAGCTTTCAAATTAGCAAAAAAAAAATGTTGATTTATGGTATTCAGCATGAGATTTTCTCTTTATGACACATTTCAAAAATGACATCCGTCTACCAGAAGCTGAGTGCACAGCAGGGAGCCCTGGCCAGCCTACTTTTGATCCGGTGGTTTATAAACCACAGATGCATCACATATATTTCAGCTGCTCACGGGAATATAGTTGTCATGTCGATGCACGTCAGACGATGAGAAACGAGAGACAGTTTACTTATAATACTACAGAATTTGACCTTACTTTCGATTCATGCTACTATTATGAATACCATTTAACAGTATTTCATTCAGGTGCTTGTTGTTGCTTTCTTCCACTACCATCCCTGAGGATGAAGACAACACATTGTTAACTTGTACCAGCAACAAAGAGAGAGACTCATAAATGGGAGTCCCAGCCGGTTATGTTATACCATCATAACGTCCGTCTCTGTGAAGACGGTAATGTGGTTAGAGTCACCTGAGGCCCGGTGGACCGACGCTCACGAGTGAAGAATAAGTACGACTGGGCTCCGTTTCTCTCTCTAATCTGGTAATAATGAGGCCACAAGCTTTTCTCCCACCACAGCAGATAAGACAGTAATTGTTTAAGTGTTTTATCTGACGTGGGCGCCGGCTACGCAGAGGTAGTCCGCCGCATACTGAGCCCCTGAATCAGCACACAGCCGAGCAGGACGGACGCCGACGGACCCGTACGGTCAGAAATGGCTGGTGTGCGTTAGAAGTGATACTTTGGTGAAGGCTCACATGTGTTTCTGTAATGATACAAGCAAAAGTCATACATCCTTTTTCTTATTTTGTTTGTTAAAAAAGATGTCTTTGTTCAACGTGTGTGGAGGAGGGTTCCATTTCTTTCTACCGCTGCAACGCCTAACGCATTATGTCGTCTGAATTACATCATTAGCTAACGATATTATTGTTACGTAATTTCTATTGCTGCACTCATCGTCTCCAACCTGCAACCTGCATCTCCCTTCTTTCAATGTCATCAGCAATGAGCATCAGCTGGTGGGGACGGGGACTGCGGCACAATAGCATTTTTTAGAGCAATCAAGTGCACATTTGAGGTCTTTTCAGAGGCTTCTCATTTCAAAAGGAGTCAGCTGGACACCGAGTTTGAAAGCATTGATTATGAAGCTGACGATGATTACCTAGCAAGACAGGAGCAGCTGATAAACCACGCTAGAGACACCAGTTATTGTCTTTAAGAATTCAATTCACAGGCCCCATTAGGGCCACATTTGTGTGGCTCGGTATATGAAATTGTTTTTTTTTTGCCATAGACTAAATTGGGGTTTGGCCACCATGCCTTCCTATTGAACATGTTCCCAGTCTGGAGGACGTTTATATGCTACAAACATCACACGCACAGATTGCTTATTTCACTTCTACCCTCTGGTTAATTCCTGAGGTCATTCCATTGACATGCAGACTGCAGATGAGGTTTTTCTTTTGCTGTTAAAAGTGTCCTTGCCGTGTAGATTAACCATCTCAAATTTAAGACCGACATCTTTTGTGTCATTTCTTTCCACACAGAGAGAGACTATTTGGCTCGATGACCTCACGTCGGACTCAGAGGCCGCTTTGCCCTCCCACTTTCGGGCGGCGCAGGTACCCTAAAACTCTGATGTTTGGGAGTCTCCTCGATAGCTCTTCCTTTTGAGCCTGAGAAATGCATTTGGCGAAGGAACTCATTTTTTATCTCTAAAGTCCGCTGACATACCCGTGTGACGCTGACCGCCAAGGACACTTAAAGTCTGTTTCTTCCCAGAGCTACAGCCGAACTCTGATGTGGCCTTCTTCCGACCTCGGACTTAAGCGGAAATTGGATTGGACAGAAATGTGGTTTCCACACTGCCCTGAGAGCACGCTCCATTAGCACGCTTCATTGTACAAATGCAGAAGTTGCGTCGAGTGAAACTTCATCAAGCTGCCATGCAAAGGGACAGTAGAAGTGCGCTCCGGTTTGTGCCTTGATTGTGTACCGCAGAAGACCAAAGGGCCACGTGAAGGAGACGGAGGTGTGTTTTACTGACTGATATCAGGGGGTCGGAGACTCGAGAGATCAAGAGCGCGAGATGAAGCTGCTCGAGCGTAGGTGAAAAGAGATGGAGAGGAAGCAGACGGACGGGGGAGGAGAGAGAATAATGAGGGTTAGAGAAATGAGGAGATGAGAGGGATAAAAATGAGAGTGGCGAAGGAAGGCATTTGAATGAGTCACCCTTCCCCTCGCAGAATTTGGATTCAAGACGTGGAAGTGGGAAGGAAGGCCGAACAACAAATGACTTTCCAGCGGGAATATTAAACCCAAGTTCATCTCGGTGACACGCCTGCATTCATTATAGAATTCAAGAATAAACACACGCAGAGCATGTTCCGATATATCATTTTGGAGAAATAAAAAAAAATAGTCGTATGTATAATATATAATAAGAAGAATAATAATAATACATTCTATCTATAACGCACTCTTATTCAGCAGATCATCAGCAGAGTGCGACAGAGATGGTAAAACATAGTTAGAAGTAAAGTAAAAGCTAGTAAAAACATAGAGGAAGGACAAAACTTAAGGAAAAGAACTTAAAGATAAGAGTAAAAAACGCCTTCTTGAATAAAGAGCCCACGGGTGCGCGGCGCTGCCGAGCAAATGGCCCGGTCGCCCGTGGTGCAGAGCTTGGTGTGGGGGGACCCGGAGGAGCGAGCTGCTTGCAGATCTGAGGGGGCGGGTGGAGGTTTGGGGAGTGAGTCGTTTTTGCAGATAGGGAGGTGCATGTCCATTTATGCATTTATGAGTGAGTAGTAGAATTATGTAGTCAATCCGGAAAGAGACGGGGAGCCAGTGTATGTGAGTGTAGGGTGGGTGTTATGTGCTCATATTTCCGGGCTTTCATCAGGATACTGACAGCACTGTTTTGGATGTATTGTAGCTTCAGGATGTTTATGTATAAACAGTTATTGGTCCCTAACGTGTCCCAGTTGTTCCATTCCTCATATTGATCTAATAAGAAGCGCTGTGTCAGTGGAATCCCATCACGCAAATAAAACACGGCCTGTATGTTATTGAGCTTTACAGCATATCCCCCCCCCCCCCTCCCACTTCAAGTCCTGTGGATTTCACAAAAGGTCGGGACTGCTGTGTACATGTATGTACACACCGATGCACAAACACACACTCCCGCGGTGTGTTGCTGGCAACCCCTGGGGGGCCGGGTGGTTATGTGTTATGTAAGGAGCTCAGGGGGAGAGAGGTGGGGGTTTCTAACACACCGTTCACGCTCAGGCATATCGCCCCGGGCCTCTGCAATGAGCTCGTGAGAAAGAAGAAAAATTGTACGTGTTGTGCGTCTGTGAGTGTGTGTGTGTGTGTGTGTGTGTGTGTGGAGGAAATGAAGAGGGGAACCGAATGCATGTTTAACGGATTAAATATCCCCCAGTGTGTGACATGTAAAGAAATGCATGAACCGCTCCCCATTGAACTCGGGTCTGCGTGACTTCCTGTCAGACTAAGTCCCGACCAGCTTTGATCTTGGAGTTTTTATTTATTGGCAATTTGACACTATTTAAAAAAAAAAGAAAACCGTGAAATGTATGTATTTTTTTAATCTGAGGTTCAAACAAAATATTTTTCTCCTTTTTTTTGAAAATAGATACATGAATGAATCTGCATTCTCACATTCACTGAAAGACGTGACGGAAAAACCCTCTTATTGCACGTAATTAACAGCCATTTTAAAGTTTTCTTTTACAGTAAAAGTAAAAGAAAAACCACCCTCTGTCAGTACGGCATTTCAAAGCCTTCTCCACCCCGTCACAGGGAAGCATATTGCCCGTGTGTCTGTGCAGGCTACTTTGCTCCGGTTGGGATTTGAGGGGGTTGTTCTATAAATACACTCTCTGCTAGAGGAGAATCTAGGCTGCACAGACATGCCAACATACAGCCACAACGACACACAGCACACTTTGATTAACCCGCCCGGCACGAGAGCAGAAGAAAGGTCCTGTTGCAGCATATGGTCGTAATGGTGGTCGTAAAATGCATTTAACTGCGTTCTCCAGAGTACATAAGAGGTTGGGAATTCAGCGGAGAGGCACATTGTACGTTCCCTGACAATCAAAAGTCAAACACAATCAGAGTGTAACGGCCACTCAGATCGGTGACAGCAGCGCCGTCCATCCTGTGGGACAGCGGCTTTTACGGGGAGTCTCGTGTCCACGGCACGTGACGGCGCCTGACGTTAACGGGAACACCACCCATCATCCATTTTGTTCTTTTTATGGCTCGAGTGTGCAGCGTCTTTAACAACCCGACGCTTCCTTACATCAGAGATTCTGTCATGTGACTGCAGTTACAGCAGCATTAAACTCCCCCAATGGGCCGTATGATTAAACTGCCTGCAATAAAATGCTGTCTTAATAAGGATTTGTTGAGTTTGAAGCAGGGTCAATATTTCCTCTTTAGCGAGCATTTTTTTTCTCTCAAAGGCAATATGAAATTAAACTGAACAGGTAGCACATTATTATGTGTGTCCGTGCATTGCTGCACACAGGTTGGTGCATCTCTACATCTATGTGCACAGTTACAGGTAGAAAACAAGACGGCTAAAGTTAAAGCTGTGCTGCTGCATTTCACAGCGCGCTGACTCACTCAGCAAGGTGGTGATATGTACGTGTGACGCGTACAGAATGTGGAGTTTAACGCGAGGCGATCTCACACACACACACACACACCATCCGGCTGCTGTGAATACTCACCAGCAGCTGGATGTTTGGTCTCACAAATGCACCACTTAGTCCTGTTGGGGAGCACTTAGTGAAGAAGGTGTGTGACTCACCTTCTTCTTAAAGAAGTTAAATCTCACCTTCAGACAGGAAGATGCTGGACAAACTGATTAGTGCTGCAAACTTTGTGGAGACGGGAGGAGAAAAGAACAGGATGTTTTCTAATCCAGTGAGTACCTGACAAATCCGGCTACTTAATCTTATTCGTGCAAAAGCCATATAAAAGGCTGCATTGGCCTCAACCAGCCGCAGATACAGTATTAAAGTTTCCCATGGGGGACTACTTGACATCTCATGATGGTACAATAACGAACATCTGGTATCTTTTAGTACCACACAGCTCATTAGATACCCGCACGCGATCTGCTGCCACAGTTGCGGTAACATGCTGCTCTTCGGTTTAAGGTCACGCGTTTAATGAGACTTTTACGTACCGCAGCAGAAGGCTTAAATAAAAGCAGGGAAAAACACACTCACCGTGGTGCAGCACATGGTGACGATGACGAAGGTCCCGACGACACCTCCGATTCCCACCAACCAGGTCATCCTGAGGAACAGGATCACCCCGAAGATGTTCTGGATGCACGGCATGTACACGCCCATCAGGGTGCCGAGCTGGGGGGCCTGGAGGAGAGTTTACACGCTTTGTTAGCAGCGCGATGGATCAGCGGTCATTTCTCGGACATTCTGCAGTGACGCAGTAGTTCTGATGAGTTCGATCAAGAAGTTGCGGAACCATTTGATTAGTATGACATCATTTTGAATCTAAGGTGAACGTTTTAGCTTATTCGCTGCAAAGCCTGACACGGCAGATTTGCAGGACTCACCCGATTGACTCCCGCCTCACTTCGGTAATAATCAATGAAAGTCGACACACCGGCAGCGCATGCTGAGGATCACAGTGTGCACATCTCATCTATAGCTACCCATGTATTTCCTTTTTCTTTCTCCGAAGGTCGCATGCAAAGAAAACACACTACAGATGGTCCCACTGCCATCAAAGCAAACATTTACTTCCCCGTGTTGGACTTCACAGATTGCTTCAGGGACCCAATTTGTTATAATTTGTTATAGACCCCTTTTCTGGGGTCATGGAGACATACGTTTGCGAGCACAGGCAAATAATTATGTGTATTTTGTTGGTTTTAAGGTGATTTGTGTCTTTTTTTTCTTTTGCCATCAGCTAACACACTGTAGAACCATGAGGTCATATATAATGTCCATGACTCATTAGTTCATTTGGATTTATTGCACAAAAAATGTAAAAATATGTTCTTTTTCCCCTGTTTTTTTCAACATCAGGGTCGTCCCCATTGCCTTTCTCTGTTTGACTTCCGGGACAATAATTACTTTTGACATCAGGATCAGTTTGAATGGACGGACGGCTCTTTTACTGCAGAGGATGTGTTCTGGTGGGTTTTGCTGCAGTGGGCTGCCTGCTGTGGATCGGTGGACCAACGGGAAGCTGCCGTGTACAGTTTGTCCTTTCACAGCACACACATCACTTTCAAGGCCGCTCCATTGAAAGCCATTGCGGACACGTGGAGAATGAGGAAGTATTTTGTTGTACTTCGGATTGATTAATACGAGGTTTCTTTTCCTGAAGGCGTGTTCCTAACGTGTGTTTGTGCAAAGCCATTTGTTGGCGGATAAATGTGTCCCGTGCGTGCGTAACATAATGGCATGTATTAAATCTGAAGGACACATCACCTGACCCTGTACAAACAAGACAAATATTCATTTTCTGCTCAAGGACAGCCAGGCCAATGAAGGGTAATTATAGCGATATCCAGGCATGACCCATTTTACCACATCACGACATGGCGCACAACACACGCACAAACCGTTTCTGCTGCATCTCTAAGCTCAAATACGGACAAACAGGAGGATCCATTAGCTGTTGTTTACGGCAGTAAAGATGTTTTTAGTACAGAAGAATCTGTCACAGAGTATGTGGATATTGCTCAATTTAGAAGCTAAATTAAGAGGAGTGATAATAATTTGTCTCACATCGGCAGTATCAGCAAATTAGGGATTACAAGCTCTATTAGACCACAAAGCTTACGGAAACTGTGCTATTTACTGGAGTTGCTTGTTAGATGTTTTTTTATTCTGTTGAATACATTAGATCATAATTAACTAAATGATATATGTTATGATAGTTTGCTTTTGGTATACATATCACATGATTTGAGTCTCAAAAGGACATGTAAACTATTCCTTGATGACATTTTTGTTTCACGAGGTTGATGACGTTTTGCATATTTTATTTTATTAGTTAAAACAGAGTTGGCAGAACATGTTTGAGGTGAGTTGTGTTTTTTTGTCCTGCTCAATGTCGTCATTATTTAACCAAATTCATGGTTAGTTTTTTTTTCTTACCTGGTTTATGTAAAACGAAAAAAGACCCCAATACTTCATTGTGATGTTTTTTTAATGATGTCCTTTGGAAGGTGCATTGAATACTAATTGGTCGTCAGTGCTGCTAACCTATTCCTTTAAAAGTGGTTATTTTCATTTGTTATAATAGCACGGACATTATACAAGATGGAGGATTTAAAACCCTGCAGTGGGAAGAAACAGCAGATGCAAATTCATATTCCAGACTTTTAATCAAATCATCCTGAGAAGTGGCTGGCGTCAGATGCTTAATCTTGTGTCTGATGCTACGCAGTGGGTGATTTGTTTGGAGAGGCTCGCTCCCGAGCGCTAATAATACGCGGTTTGCAGAGAGGACGAGGGAGAGAGCACAAGCGGGAGGGAGAAGCGAGGAGAGCTCAAGTCCAAGCAGGTCTTGCAAATGTGATTAACTTTTAATTTCCTAAAGACAAACAACGGAGGCAGAACTCACACTGGGAAGCGTAATTAGCTGCCTTATCGCGCTGGAGACCCTCGATGTGGATGTGAAGAGACGCAAACGGCTTATAAACGTGTTGAATCCTATCCTGTCACATCACATCACGTGTCAGATCAGATCATAATATGTTCTCTCGCACGTATCCTTCATCCCAAAGTTGTGTCACCTCATTTGGGACATTATATATGTGGTCAGTGGTGCAAGAAGTACTTTGATCATTTGGTTGGTAGCAATACCACAATGGAAAAACCATTGATTCAATATTTTACTTAAAAGTAAAAGTACAAATGTATTAACATAAATATATAAATGTAAAATGTTCTCATTACCCTATTTATCACTGATTAATTCATGTGGTGGTAAATGTTGGGCCATTTGTAATGACTGTATATTTGTGTAGCTTAATCTATAAGGATATATCTAATTTGATAGTAATGATACTTTATAAATTTGGATTATTAGTAACAAGTTACTAAATGCACATGAAATTCAGTCAGAATGTCTCTCAGAAATAGAGTGCAGGATGTATAAAGCAGCATAAAAGTGAAATACTGAACCTCAAAGGTCTACTCAAGATACAGTGTATGGCCTTTAATGTATTCTTTCCACCCTTTGACATACAAGTAATTGCACTACCTTAGTTAATATAATCGTTTTAAACAAACAGCTAAATATTCTGTATAAATGTAATTCTCATAATATCTGCAGTTGTACCTCAATCTTCTTATATGGCACCGTTTCATGACTCCAAATGTTTTGTTTTTCAGTTTTGTATAATGCTTAATTGCAAAAAAAACACCATAAAGACACAAACTGTCCTGTGTTGATATCATGTTCCAATCGGCAACATATTTCCTCCATTTGTCTCGTGCGAATCGTTCCTGCAGCGTCGAGCTCTGATCAAAGATCCACACCGAGGCCTCCGCAGGTGCTGCAGGGAGCGGCGCTCGTCTCCGTCACCTCCCCCACTACTCGATAATGACTCGCACAGCTTGACTCCGCCGATACGAATCAGGTGCCTCGCTCGCTGTGGCTGTGCACTCCAGTGTCAATCTGCTCATCCAGCGTCTTAAGTTTTTGTTTTTGAATGCAAAAACCTCAGCTGGATTCTATCATGACAAGGACATGAAGCAGAATCATTTTGCCTAATTTACCATCTGAAGAGGCCATTCAGGCAACTGGTGAGATGAAAGGATCCGGGGCCGATCCTGTGTTTCTTGATGAATGAACCCAACATCAAGTTGTTTTAATTCATTTACTAAAACAAAACCATTGAGAGCGGCTGTGTTTTAATCTTTTCACCACTGAGTTGTTTTCTTTTCGGTGCTTCCTGCAGCACAGCCGTAATTAAAAGGCCTGGGTTTCCATCGACAGGTTCTTCTGGGACCTGGGTGTGTGTAATGTACATTAGCGGCCAGGTGTTGAACGCAGAAAAGGTAAACCTGCCATCAGCACTCTGTTGGCGAGACCCAAAACTGCTGCTGCTGCAGAACGAGCCGTGAGGTCCGTTTGTAATAACAGGTTATTAGAGGAAAACCTGTGCGCTTTTACAGCGGCAGACACAACACCCTGAAGAGGACGACGGTCCGCAGTCCTTTCAAGGTGTGTGATTCTAATTTAAGAGGACCTCTAAAACCACAATGACAGTCTAAGAATGTTGATGTCATCAGAAATAGATAAATAGAATAAATAAACTCTTAGTCCGAGGAGATAACATTGGCAGGATCGTTTGTCAGAAAAGCTGCAGTAAAAAACCAAGGGAGATGTTTTTGATATGTATCTGCAAAATACATCATGAAATCGGCCCTGAAAGGGCGTGTGCAACTATTGTGCATGAGAACACAAAGCGTGACGTCCCACAACACTCCACAGGAGAGTAACCTCGGCAAAAGCAGGCAACAACCCTCTCCAGACTGCTAAATGTCATTTTCCCTGCCCGCTCTCCCACACAATGGAGAACCGTAATCAGACCTCGCACGTTGGCCCGCTGCATGAGAGTCTGCGGCAGCTGAGTGATAAATTATAATCCTCATTCAACAAAAGGCGGGCTTGGGAAAAAAAACAGTGTGTGTCTGCTAGAAATCCGCGGCGTTACATAAGATGTACAGACGCAGATAATAGAGAGCGAGCGGGCTTACACGCAGTCTGAGAAACCTGAACACGATAGAACTCCTCTGTGGGTTTGGTAAACAGCCACCCTAGACAAAACCGCACCTGGTGAACTAATAGACGCTTCTAATGACTTTGTGTTGAGAAATTGCCTGAAACAGATGAGACGCTTTTGCCTGCATTGAATCAATGACACTGCCGAGAGAGAAGGAGGCCGGACGTTTATTGAACGGGCCGATTCTTCCATTTTCATTCAATTGGTGTTTCATTTGTCGACGGGGATTGTGGTCCCGACCAGCGTCGGCTGGCAGATAGACGACACACACATACACACACAGACACACACACACACACACACACACACACACAGAGTGTCTGTTTAATGGGCTGCGAGCCAGCAGAGTGATGATTTCCCCAGAGATGGAGCCACCGTGAGCAAAGGCACACGGACTGCTGCAGAGCCACAGGTACGCCAGCGTGGCACCACTGAACTAGGAATAAACAGCTGCCCCCCGCACTCCCTCCCCCCCCTCAGGGAAGCGCAGCGGTCCCACGGACCGGAGGGCTCAGGTGTGTTCGACGCACAACGGGGCCTTTCAATAGATTCGGATTCAAGCGGCTCCTGCTGCCCCACCGCTGACATCTGCCTCTCAGCCGG